TAACGAATATCGAGAAATCACGGCATTGTATTTAAATTTTGCCAACAATACTTTACTCAGAAATTGAATAAAGCAATATGAAGTATACAGAAGAAGACTTAAAGGGAATGAAAAGAGCAGATTTGCAAAAACTATGCAAGAACATTGGCATCAAAGCTAACATGAAGGTAGAACCGTTGTGAAATATTTTATTTACTGTATTAAATCCTGTGTTATTATTATTCTATACAAAAATGATAGTTCTTATTCCAAAGCAAAATACACGTTGTAGAAGGAATAGTTGACAGTGATGCCATGAGTGATTGTTCCAATTTTTTTCATCAAAATTATGGCTTTTTAAATTAAATTGCAATAATCTTAAATATTGAAATTTGTAACAACGTTGTTTCTATAATTTCAATTTTTAAAAGATTTATAGTCCTGGCTTAAATTTCTACGTAGTGTGAGCAGTAAACACCCTCTAAAGCCATGTTTACATGAAACTCAAATAATATTGAACCATAGTGTTTATTTCTATCAAACATGTTGCACATGACATACAACTAGTTGAGGTTTGAAGTTTCATTATACCTACGTATTATATATTATTTGCCAATGTATATCAACTCTGACTCTCATAATGAAAACTAGATGGTAATTTATGTGTAGTGCAAACCTCTTTCAACAAAAACTATGTTTATACAGTAAAAAAATGTTTCAATATAATGTCTGACGCATTTAACTTAAGTAGGAAAGCTGGTATGTCTTTTACTGCCACAATGCAAATATTTTTGTGTTAATTTACTGAAATGAATACTCTGAAGAAACCAATGAAATGTTGCTGAATATTTGGCATTGTATGATTACATATCTTGCCTGGTTTTGCCACTGTATAATTCAAAACATTTAGAGAAAGTTTACCTGCTTTGATATGGTTTAAATATCATGTAAATGGGAGGCAAGTTTTTGCCTTACCAGCATGTGGTAGAATAACAAAACCTGTACCCAAATATATTTTCATACTTTTCTGGCCATTTCATGTAACTTTACAGACTGGTAAACTTCTTGAAGAAATTATGAAGTATTGTAATGAAGAGAAAGAAAACAGTAAAAAGGAAAATTTCATGTGCATTGAGGGGTAAGTATGTATATTAAAATACTTTACAGGTCATGCCTCCAAACATGTCTAAGTATTAAAGTATTCGTATCCTCATCTCGTCTCTAGCTGTGTGGATGTTGCAACCAAAAGCACAGACATACCTTCATATTTTCAACAAGATGAAGTGAAAAAACAGAAAAGTAAAATCAACCCTTCAAATGCTAGATGAATTAATAAAAGTGTTCAATATTTCATTTGATGCCTTTTGGCTTCTCCATCAGTCTTACAATGTATTTCTTAATAATATTAATTTACAAACATGATATTTTACTTACAGTTATGACTGCTAGAAGCAAAATACCAAGACGTACCAAACAAAGTGTGAGAAATGCAGAACAAATCAAAGCACCAGCAAAAACACCACTGGCCTTAGTTGAAAAGAGGAAGAACAAACGTAATAAAACATTTCTCAGACCATTATCTGGGTTTTTTTCAACTAGCGGTATTTTATTTATAGGGCCTACCACACCAAGAGATTGGGCGAAGATTTGTCAACAGAAATTTGAAAAGTACGTATATAAAATTGTGTAAGTACAGTTGAAATATAATTGATGGCATGTTACATGATGTCAGAGGTTTTTTGTTCGAGATTTTTCTCAGCAATTATAACAACGCCCATGAATTGATTATGAAGGCTTAGATATGTGTACCAAACCATTTTGTGTTACAATAAAAGGTATTGAACATTTTGAGTAAATGAATTCTTTTCTTGATTTATAAACATTTTTGTTGATGTAGAATGGATTCGTTGGACGTCTATTTATCCAAGAAACAACAACCGGCAAAGGATTTGTTTCATTCTGGGAAAAAGGTCAACGTAGTGAAGGTAACTCTGTGTCTAGTAATTATTCAAGAATGAAGAAAGATTCATTAACTGAATTTCTTCTTTCATAATTCTCTGCCAAGCCATTAGTGGACGTCGACGTCCCAGCAAAACCGAGCGAAGTGGGGTTGTGGAAAAAGAGGCTAGCGTTCAACATTTCGTCAACATCGAATGAGAAGACTGTGAGAACTCCGTCCACAAGAAAGGGATGCAACAAATCAAATCAAATTTGCGACAAACCAGCTACCCCTTTCAGGTCTTATGAATTCGGCTACCAATTACAGTTGCAATGAAGTGTTTTGAAGTGTTATAAATTTTTTCTTTAGATTCACTTCGAATGCGTTGCCACTTGCTACATCAACTCCTCGTAAGAAATTTGACTTACAAGCAAGCCTTTCAAAACCCCTTAACTACACACCATACACAGGTAAACTACCAGCCCTGTCTCATGGAAAACAAATTCCCGAGGTCAAGAGTAGGAAACCAGTTACTCACAAACAAGATATGAAAGCGGTTAAAATCTCGACAAGGTATAGATCTATTAAAATCTTTACATTGGTAAATAAAGTCATGCGGGTAGATGGTCAAAAATAAATGTTAATACATTTTAGTTTTGGTTTGCATGTATCTGCACACGATAAAACGCACCATTTTTCATTGATTGTTTGTAGTTGCATGTTTTTAGATGTAGGTAGTCTAGGTTTGTGCAATCCTAACAAGGACTGTTGGTGATGGTGTTACTACATCCTTAACACCAACATCAACAGCCCTTCTCAAAATTGTCCTAATCTGGTGAATCTACATTTATACGTGTACGTATATGTAACAATACTCTCTGGTTCAAACCATTCCATAGTTTCTAGAGGGGTTGGAACCCACCCCTACTTAGACATACCCATCCCAAATTGGTAACCCACCCCTACATTTAGGTCCAAAATTTCCTTACCCACCCCTACATACGAGCCGAAAAAAAATTCGTTTTTTTCTAAGGGAAAGCTGATTTTAGACTTATTTATGGTCTCTCTATGCATACTATATACAACACTGATAAAGTCTATGTATTCACTGATGCAATAAATGGCTGATGCAATCAATAGCTGATGCAATCAATAGCTGATGCAATAACATGGTGTCAAATTAGGGAGATATTTTTGGTCCCTTATAGGGTAATATGAAGATAGATGATGCAATAACATGGGGGCAAGAATTGAGTGATGTTGAACTTTGAAGTTATTAACTTTTTTTATCATAGATGAATTTCATCTATTTTTTAATTTTTCTAATAGGGAAAATCTCGGAACCCACCCCTACATAGACATACCCACCCCTAGTTTATAACCCACCCCTAGAAATTCAAAATTTTTTCGACCCACCCCTAGAAGGCATTTTTGAAAATTCCAAGACCCCCCCTAAATTTAGGTGGGGGTAGAAACTGTGCATTCAGAATTTAAGAGAAAGAAACTGAAAATTCTTTCTTCGTAACAGTTCATTACTTGCCACGTAACAAACAAAATATTATATGACGTTGATTTCTGTTCATTCCAGCCGAAGTCTACGTCTTTCAAGACAACGAAACGCGCAAAGTCAAGCTCGACAGTCAGCTCTGAGCAGAAGAAGAGATTTGAACAACTAAGAGGAAGAGCCAGAATGTGTGTCCTAGGCATTTTTTCTTTGTATATAATACAATTAACTTTAAATTCATATATTGTTGATTACATTGCGGCTTTTATCTTTCTTTATGATTCCACAAATCAATTTTTTTCTCAATTCAAACTTTGAGAATACATTTCGTTTAGTTTCCTTTCGTAAATTTTTCCTATTTGAAATTTTTTTTCTTGTTGATTTCTTTTTTCATTATGTTTAGTCGATTTCACCATTTTACAATTTATAACACCTAAGCACACATTTCAGGTACACGCAATAGTTTTACAACATCGTAATTTAACAAAAGATCTTACACACAAGTTGTTAACAACGCGTGTGCTTTTTATTACATACTTATGATACATTGCAGTTCAATGAAAATGAAATCATTTTTGTTCATAATAAAAGGATTATTAGTTTTATTGCATAAATATAACATAAGTCATAATAATCGTACGGAGGGTGTTAAAACGTCACGCACTTAAATCACGTGACGAAAAGATGGTGGCAGTGGTTGCTTTTTTGTCAGAGGTTATTTGGTTGTAGTTAAATTACATCAATTCTGTTTGTGCAATATACGTGCACCATTTTTTTGTTTATGAAGCGATTGCTAAGTAATCTTCCAACGAACAAATCTTACTATAACAATCATAACAATACTTCACGGTACTATGAAATTTCCGCCATACCCATTCGCAGGTGGCTGTTTCATAAAACTTGATGACGTACAAGATATACATTTGGCACAAAACTTTGTATAATCCTTGAATTGCTCACTCTTTTTTGTTTTGTAAGAAATGCCTGACACCTTATTTAGAATGTATAATTGTTGCCCTCAACCACCTATGTTGCAGGGTTGTGCTGCTCATAAATTACTCCTTTCCTTCGCCAATGCAGTACAATACAAATTCAGATGTAAAATCTGAAAGTGCATGATTGACAGATGTACGTGCAATATATGCAAAATGAAAGACAAAAATTCATATGCTTTGTTACATAAAATTGTACTCCACATCGTTGGTAATGACAGAAAAAAATGCCAAATAATGAGTCTTTTAAAACGAAACGAAACAAAACAATTTTCTTTGCCATTATATTTGGTGTAACCTCCTGCAACTAGACATTTTATAAGAACAATGACGATGTAAGTTTCTTGTTTCTTGTTTTGCCTGGTTTGAAACATAGAAGTAAGAAATTTGTCACGTATGCACTTTAAAATAAAGATAGTATTCGTTGATGGAACAAAAACATGTTTAAAATTATTTATGTTTTAGCTTCTTTAAGAATGAAACCACGAGAGAATATTTCTTCTGCTATTTTACATAATAATGCAGTGGAACCTCTACTTAAAGACACCTTGCTTAAGCTCGTCGTCCCAAGGGTGTTTCCTTACAGTAGGCTCGACTGTAGTTACAAACTGGAGATGAGCTCACCTAAACAATACAAGATTTTTTGATGGGTTTCTTGCTCATGTTATTGAACACTTCCAGACAGCCTTCCACGACCTTCCTCAATTGACAGAGATCAGCAACCTCCACGTACGGTTTACTGTCATTCTTTGGGTCAGAAAAATCACAACAGATCAAGCTTCGCAGGTTGTCTTCGGTTATAATTTCGGCACTAACGTCCAGGTGTTGAAACACACGGTTGAAATCGACTTTGAGACTCATGAATTCAATGAGCCACGAACGATCTGCATCATCCACGAGCCGATCATAGTAAACGCGGAAGACCTGAAAGAAAATTAACACGTGAACATCACGTGGGCTGCATGGAAATCAACACGGCAAACAAACGAAGGTCTTTACAGAAGAGAAATTGAAAACAAAAGAAGGGGCACACGTGAACATCGCACGAAGTGTATTGATATTAACAGGGCAAAAAGGCAACGACTCTTCTCGAAGGGATATTGAGGAAAGAGATGCAAAAAGAACCACCGAAAAAGGAATGTTTGTAAAACTGGAAATTCGAGCTTTTAAAAGAGGGTCAATAATTTTGTATTGAAAACGGTCAATTAACTCGTTTTCAAATGCTCAAATATTGACAAAAAAGCGTCAGTGGTCAATCGGAGTCAATTGAGCACACTGCATGATGATAAACAATATTGAAAACGTCGAAAGCCGGCAAGAAACTGCATAAGAGTGAAACACTCAATAGACATATATAAAAATGGATATATTATCTTTTAGCACTGCAATGATGTTGATTACCTCGTGTACCCAAAGACGCTTCAACGTGTTATGGTCTAACGTTTAGGCAGGTGGTGACAACAAAACTCCCTAGATACAGAAAAAACTTCATTCAATTCATCTTCATGAGATAAAGCAATCACATCGGGGTTCATGCAATGCTATAGTAATGGAGTCGAGCACTTTTCAAAGACTTTCAAGGACATTGACACAAGACCTTAAAATGCACACAAAGCACAATAACAGTAAATCATTAAAAACTTTATCAAAATTAAAACAAAAGATTTTTTCTACAAAAACATAATGAGGACAAAAGAACTAATGAATCGAGAGCAAATGTTGCGTTTTCTTAAGACTTGAAAGCCGCAGCGTCGGCGAGTCACTTCATGATTTGTTATTTAAAACAGCAGCTCCTGCACCACGGCGAGCAGTATTGCGCAATTTGCAGAATCAGATCCAGTGCTTGCTCAGAAATTGAATGAGGGGTTTTAGGTGGATGATCTAGTTTCGGGGGGCAAGAGCGCACAGGAAACAATCGAGTTGTACGAGAAAGCGAAATTTAGGATGTCCCAAGGCGGGTTTAAGTTAAGAAAATCGCTTACGAATGATGGAAACGTGCGAGCGCTTATAGAGCAACGTGAATGCGGAAACAAGGTGACGACGACTACAAATTCAGACCACGAGACATTCGCACAATGGAGTTTGGGGGCTCTAAATAACAATGACTGCGCAAAAGTTTTAGGTATAGGCTGGGATTGTGACAATGACCTGTTTACGTTTGATCTACGAAACTTTGTAGAAGATTTAGGTGATAAGACGAAACTAACAAAAAGAAGCCTGCTTAGCGCATTATCAAAGATATTTGATCCGTTGGGTTTAATTAGTGCCGTTATTATTTTGATGAAGATTTTGTTTCAACAATTGTGTGTTGATAAGATAATAAAAAAATAGAGGGTAAGCACGCAAAGATATACGTAACTGGTTATTTGATGATTTTCAATTTAATGCAAATTTAATGCTTAGGCCCGTAGTTATACGCGAAGTAGTCTCGCCGAAAGCTCTTTTTTTGATAAAGATACTATCTCAAATTTCTAATAACATGTAGCAAGAAACTTCCAAATACCGGCCGCTTTCTCGTTTCCATCTGCGTCTGTCACCTCTTTCACAGTTTCATCTAATACTAAAAATATGTCACAAATAAGTCGGCATTTTCTTCATCATTTTTATCGTTTTAACACTTTAAACGTACCAGGGGCGGATCTAGAGTATGTCAAATCCGTCGCGCGACTGATGTTTGAAACTCAAAAATTACCTATTCATATTAGTTAAAAATTCATTAATTATTCTTACTTTATTATCGCATTTACTTCGTGATAAAAATCCAGCTTTATTTATTATTGAAAACTAATCTAATGACTAATCCATGACTAATTAAAAAACATCTCCATGGTAACCAGATCAGTTGAATTTTAATTGACCTGGAATAACCGACTGATAAGCGGGGTGGCTTGAATGGTTCAGTGAACTCGACATTTGAATAACTGGAATGATAACCGGAGCCAAAAATTGAAGCCAAAGAAATATTTGTCGTCATCTTTCGTCATTACACGTCAGGCTCTAGTCTCTCGCGTGTTCATTTTAATTTTTTTTAATCATTTGTCCCTTGGTAATGGTAGAGGTCGGATCTTGATCAGAGCGTAAAAATAACGAAATTTTTGGAATGAAAAGGTTCACGGAAAGTGAATCAAAGTGATAAATTGATAACCAAAGTGAGGTGAACGTGGTCGCTCTGCTCTTACACTGCGGTTTTCCTTTAAAACATATCAAAGTCTTTAAGGTAAATGGTTTGAACCCGGGAGTATCGTTACATGTTTGTAAATGTAGATCGTCCAGGTTGGTATAGTCCTGAGAAGGACTGTTTTTGTTGTTGTTGTCGAAACGTCAGTCAACAACAACAAAAACAATCCTTCTCAGAACTATACTAACCTGGACGATCTACATTTACAAACATGCAAAGTCTTAAAGAATATTCAATTATTGATATCGAGATGATAACCATTTAGTATTTCAAGCACTATCAAAATCGATGAAAAATACAATCGCTCTGTAAAAAGTAAAAATGCGAGTTATAGACTCAATATTTATTATGAAACCGAATATTCAAGTTTCTTTTTTCTTCGGAAAAACAGATCTTTAAATCCACTGAAATGACAAAAAAAGACAAACACTGTCTGACACCGTTTGAAAATTTACCTTCCGACGAAAGAAAAATTTATGCTTGAATATTTCCTCGTCATATTTTCTATTGTATTGTCTTTTTAGCATACAGTGTAATTTTTAGTTGGCTTTTCATCGTTACAAGTTGTAAGTTACAACGAACTCACTGTAGTAAAGTTTCAGCTGTAAAAAATAACCTTTTGCGAGGAGTTGGCCTCGTGTGTTGTTTGTCGTGATGTTGTTTATATGTTTATGCTTTCGCAATTTGTATTCAAATTTATATTGGCCGTGTATGTTTGGGAATGATACTGACGTACAAACCGCGTGAATATTCGACTTTGAAGGACTGGAACTGACGTACAAACTGCGCAAGAGACTAGGACTTTGGCTTCAATTTTATATCTATAAAATGTATTGTCGTTATCATTCCAGATATATATATATATTATATATGGAGTTCACTGGACTGGTTCGACGGATAAAGGAGTCTATGAACGCCAAAAACGCTTATTTCATTGGTCAATAGCCAGATCAGTGGACGATCTGGAATAATCTCAACCGATAAGCGGGGTGGCCGGACCTATAAGGGAGTCCACTTGCTATCGTGTAATTGGTTCGTTTAAATTTTTGTCTTACTGTGATTGGTTTGACCTATTTCGACTGATAGCCAACTGAACTAACATAGTCAAGCTCACTGTCTGAATTGAATGTTTGATCGTTTCATAATAATTTTCTAAAGCATGATAGAAACTAAACTACAATCAGATGGAATTTATGGAAATCTTTTACAAATTCATATATTGACATGAATGCTGCTTTCCAAACTGGGAATTTTTTCAAGAGGGCGAAAAATTTATGGATGAATTGTAAATGCTTGGCAAAGACGATCTCGCGAGCGACATTTCAGTCATTGATGTTCAAAAGCAAGCCAACATTGTTTTGAGTTTTATCTGCAGAAATTTACATCAAAATCGTAAGTAAAGGACAACTGAAGTGCATGCATGAATGTAATATGTCAAAGTCAATTTATGCGAGTGTGTGATGCGATTTATGTTAATATGGCGTTTGGTAAGCAGATTGATGCTTCTAAAATTGTTGTTGCCGAAGGATTTTAGCCATGATTTCATTAGTGCTTGGGAATCGTGACCGTTATATGGCAGCGAAATCCTACATTCCTGCAAATATATTTCAATGGACAAAAAATCTGTAGCCATAAGGCGCCATACTATTATTTACTTTATCATAAACAAATGTTTGGGGCTTTTCAGTTTATGATCATTGATCATTCAATCATTGAACAGTTATACTACATATTGTTTAAGATTTGAGAAAACTAACATTGATTACATGAGAAGCTGTTTACTATAACCTGTGATTTTAGGTCTTCTGATCCATGAAGCTTTTTATTTTGACAATTTGACTGGAATGGTATTTCACATACATGAAATGTTGTCCCATGTCACATATTGTCCCCTTTTCTAACTGAACACCTCATGTAGAGATGTAAAGGTGCGTTAATCTACGGCTCATACCAGATTGTTTGCCATAAATTCCAAAGGGCTATTGATGTATAAAAAGCATTTTCTATAAAGTAAAAATGTCTTCCTATGTATGCAGATAAACCTTGAAATTTGGCAAAACAGCAAAGTATTTTTCATGATCACTAGGTAATTTTTCTGATGATCATTATAATTTCTAAACTAAATTATTTCAGATTTACATTTAAACGAACTTTGATCATATGAAAAGATATTTATCATAACCAGTAAGCATGACACATGAACCAATTTTAACATTCATGTAATTATATAATTAAAGACATGTTGGTTACATTCTGTTTGTATTTGATAATACAATGCTACTAGTGATTGCTATATAGCACACCTGGAAGAAGATAATAGTCAAGTGAAATGCCTAATAAACATTTATGGCATTAAGCTGTCCTTAACTGCAATTTTTCACTCTGATAATTTTTGCTTAATCTTTGGCAGAAAAAAATTTTGAGTTTTTTCTCAAAATGTGAATTTGCTAATACTGATGTGGAGATGGGTAAAGGGTTACAATAAACTTGCATGGTTTGAAGTCTGAGCTTTTCTATATCTATGAACTGTCACTTGTAGTACCAAATTTCTAACTTAACTCATTACATAGAGGTTTGAATGGGGGTCTCTAGGGGGGTCTATGCCTGACAACTTGGTAGAAATTTTTAAAGGCTATATGTGTTTTTGAATATAGCATTATTGTAAAATAACTTTTATGTTCCTAGACATGCTAATGAGCCATATATTTGGCATGATAATGAGCCTAAATATTTGGCAAAACATTCAAGTATTGTTCACTTTATTTTTTTTTGAAAAAAAAACGTAAGCAAAATGTGTTGTTTTTACGCAAAAACGATGACCACAAAATACATTTTGTAATGATCTAAAACGCTGAAAATGGCATTTTTAAGGCTCTGAAATTCAAAATTTCTCAGGAGAGATAGCCTCAGACCCCCAGGTGCGGAGCGCCTCCGACGTTTTATGACTGATGTTTGAAAAATCCTAGATCCGCCCCTGAAACGTACGACAGTTTATGAAAGGCATGGCGCACTTACTAGAGTCTGAAAACTTTGATGAATCAACGACGGATTCCTTCACTGTCACATTAAGATCTAAAAAACGAGAATTTCATGAGACATCCTTCATATTAAATTCTCAGTTTTATCGTGCCACTTTACAACGGATGTGAAGCAGCCTGTACTTCATGCTGAATGTTGCGGTGCTTCGTTAGTTATGAGCCAAACATTGAGTTCTATAATAACTGGAGCGGCTAACTTTACTGGGGCGAGGTCGCCAAAAAAATGGCGGCCAACGGACGCATTTCCGCTGAAATGATCGCTTTGCAGAAAAATAATATTCTCGACCTCCCCCAGGTGTCTATAGTAAATTATAAAGAGTTTTTCAAAAACAAACACGATATCACAGAATAATATAGATATCGTTAGTTCCATATTCTGTGACGATTCTTTTTTGGCATTTCTTTTATAATGCCAACACTTCAATCGTTCAATTGTTGGATGTCGTAGTTTCCACAAAAAGGAACATATCGCTTCTCACAGGTGAGGTAGTTGTTTGTTTTGTTAGTCCGTCAACGATTGAAAAGCAATTATACATGCACTTGAAAAGCCATAAAATACATATTAAAGATCGTATTTTTTAAGATTGACTTGAACGCCAAATATACTGATGTTTTCCTGTTTTTGTCCATAAAATTCTGCATACTTTTCTGTCATTTGTTAATGCATGAAATCGTAAATTTACATATCTATTTGCAAAATAGTTTCCCTAAAGCAAAAAATACCCTGCACACATTTTGCTCTGTGAAACGTATCAAAAAGAAATGATCAGCCCCAACAATACCCATGATTTGGAGCAGAGCTTGTTATGTTCTATTGTTATGTTCTATTGACTGGAAGATGTTATTGACTAGGCAGAGTCTTAAAAAAATGATAATGCTGTAAAGATAATTGATTTATTGTTTGCCTTATCCAGAGTTATTTAATTTGATCATGGTCAAATTCTATGGATGGAGACAATGGATTCACTAATGATGCCTTGAATGCTTTGAAGTTAAAGTTCATGAACCAAAAAAAGATGGCAAGAAGGTTGTGTGTGTTTTGATGCTTAATTAAATGTCAATTCACAACATATAAAATGGAAAGGCCATAAAGTTTGTGTCTATGTAAACATTTGTACTGAGATTGATGATGACTCGATGCAGATGTGAAGAATCAAACTGTATAAGCCATTGGGTTGTATATAACTTAATGTTTAAATCATGTCATATCTTTATCAAAATATTTTAGTTGAGTGTTGTTTAAATGTTACTAATATCTAATGCACTATACTGAAGCATTAAAGATTCAGTGATGAAACCTTTAAAGTTACTGTACTGTATATTTCTTATATATTTCTTTAAGAAAAATTTGAGCTTATTTACCTATTAGAGTACAGAATGGAGATTTATCATATGCATTATTGCTGCTTTTTTAAAGAAAAGTTTTTCACTTTTCAAAGCTTTTCTACAAATTTTTTGCTTCTTATTTCTTATCATGAGATTGATGATATAGAGGTAATATAATCCAATAACTTTCTAATTTCTAAAAAGCTTTTAAGCTTCTAGCATAAAAGTACACTTCTAGCATAAAAGTATAGGTATGTAATTCATTTGGTTTTATTGCCTTGCTATGACATATCTAGTTGCACTTCATCATTCTTGTATGAACAAAACACCAGATGTGGATACTCAGAGAACAAAATGCACTACCAACTGCTTATGAAATTTATTATTAAGGTTAATCATTCAAATTATAGTGCACTTTTATTGCAAATATAGGAAAAACAAAACAAAGTGAAAAAGAAAGGTAGAAGTATTAAAACTACAATTGAATTATAAACACCATTGGAAGCATAACTGTTCTGATGATTATTTGCATTTTGCCCAATTCATATATCAATACAACAAAATCAAAATGTGCTACAACTTTACAAGTATTTGATGCAGCTGCACTTCAGAACATCACAAAAAGGTTAATTAAAGTAATTTCTATACATTATTGTTTGTTTTCATTTACCAAACCTATGCAGACTTGAGTCTTTTTGAAATTTAATATGAAACTCAATTACAGAAAATCCGTAAATATCCAGAGATTTAATATTTACTTTTTTAAAGAAACAAGTAAAAATCCAACAATTGTGGAGAAAAAAGCCATTGCCCATTGCATCATGAAAGGAAGCAAAATAGCAATGATAACAAATAAGCTAACCTCTCTCGTGAACCGTGGAGATGAACTATGATATACTTTTTTGTATAGACTAAAGAGTTTAATCGATCAAACAAGTTTGACGCTGGTAAAAGAACGACCCACATCTGCATTCATTCATGTGTAGCCGACACATATTATAGCTCTTTCGTCGATAGTTATAAATGCATCCTCGTAAGAGCAGATAACTGACAACCACAGTTGACTCGCTGTTATGAATTTAAGGTTTTTACCTTGATTTTCATCAAAAAATTGCTTGCCGAATCCCAAATACACACATACATTTTCCTCACTCTTGCCTCAGGAGGGAGTGGGGAATTGTGAAATTTTCGGAAAAGCGGTCAATTTCGGTAAATCTCAGCGGCAACGGACGAAATCCGCCATTTTTTTGGCGTCATCAGATGAGTGAACTCGACATTTGAATAACTGGAATGATAACCGAAGCCAAAAATTGAAGCCAAAAAAATATTTGTCGTCATCATTCGTCATTACACGTCAGGCTCTAGTCTCTCGCGTGCTCATTTTAATTTTTTTAAATCATTTGTCCCTTGGTAATGGTAGAGTTCGGATCTTGATCAGAGCGTAAAAATAACGAAATTTTTGGAAGGAAAAGGTTCACGGAAAGTGAATCAAAGTGATAAATCGAGAAGCAGGGTGAGGTGAACTTAGTCGATCTGCTTTTACGCTGCGGTTTTCCTTTAAAACATATCAAAGTCTTTAAGGTAAATGGTTTGAACCCGGGAGTATCGTTACATGTTTGTAAATGTAGATCGTCCAGGTTGGTATAGTCCTGAGAAGGTTTTTGATTTGACTTGACAACCTTAGCAGTAGTCATCTTCAGAGTCAAATGAATCAAAGAGAAGATGACTACCGCTAAGGTTGTCGAAACGTCAGTCAACAATAACAAAAACAGTCCTTCTCAGGACTATACCAACCTGGACGATCTACATTTACAAACATGCAAAGTCTTTAAGGATATTCAATTATTGATATCGAGATGACAACCATGTAGTATATCAAGCACAATAAATATCGATGAAAAATACAATCGCTCTGTAAAAAGTAAAAATGCGAGTTATAGACTCAATATGTTTTATGAAACTGGATATTCAAGTTTCTTTTTTCTTCGGAAAAACAGATCTTTAAATCCACTGAAATGACAAAAAAAGACAAACACTGTCTGACACCGTTTGAAAATTTACCTTCGGACGAAAGAAAAGTTTATGCTTGAATATTTTCTCGTCATATTTTCTATTGCATTGTCTTTTTAGCATACAGTGTAATTTTCATTTGGCTTTTCCTCGTTACAAGTTGTAAATTACAACGAACTCACTGTAGTAAAGTTTCAGCTGTAAAAAATAACCTTTTGCATAGAGTTAGCCTCGTGTGTTGTTTGTAGTGATGTTGTTTATATGTTTATGCTTTCGCAATTTGTATTCAAATTTATATTGGCCGTGTATGTTTGGCACTCAGGGGAATGAAACTGACGTACAAACCGCGTGAATATTCGACTTTGACGGACTGGAACTGACGTACAAACCGCGCAAGAGACTAGGACTTTGGCTTCAACTTTTTATCTATAAAATGTATTGTCGTTATCATTCCAGATATATATATATATGGAGTTCACTGCATCAGATATCTAAGGCCGCGCTTGAGATAGCCGCTCCAGTTATTATAGAACTCAATGGAGCCAAAGCGATTGTAAAATAAAAATTTTTCGTATACCTTCGGAACTTTCATCAAATTCAGACAATGTATTTTCTAAGCATGATTCGTCATTGACAGATGTTTCTTTAATTGTAGTATCAAATTCTATGGTAAAAACGAACATGAATGGCAAATTTAACAAAATATGCTCACACTTAATCAACACATCATTATGAAGATATTAATTTTTTACCAGTACACGAGTTTATGAAATCATTATCTCCTTTAACTTCGCCATTTTCCACCATTTCGGACTCATCAACTGAACAGAAGAAATGATTATCGAGAAAACATTTAAAAAAGGCTACTGTGTTGCTTTATCTTAGAAACTCATATAGTTGGGTTCAATGTCTTACATACAATTTGTAATATTTGCTATCCAAATGAACCTAAACATAGTTCAGTCTCTATTCATTATATAAGTTTTCATCACATTCTTTTTCTTTTTGTTTGCAAAAACAAAACTACATAGCACTTGATGAATAAATTTGTTAATTTCTACCCATGGTCTTCTCCCACTAGCAAAGTAACTTACTTTATTAAAATATGTTGCTATGTTTTCATTTATTTATATCTAAAATTGTAGTCTTGTGGAAAGGCAGCAAAAGTAGATAGCCCCAAATTCAAAAGAAAATACATACTTTGTATATCATCCTTACCATTGGCAATCACATCTTTTTCTTCTTCACAAACAACTTTTTGTTCTGAAAGACTGGTTTCAATATCATTGTTAACATCACGGTCTTTTACAATCCCATGATCCTCGGCAGTTTCATCCATCCTATAATTGCAAGCAACACGATCTAACACTGTAGCGTACAAGAGTGGACTTTTAACAAAACAATTCAGTAACGAGTCGGATGCATGTTGCTTGACATTAACTTACGTGAAAATTGGAAGATTGTCGATGATCTTTGTCACAATTTACTGTGGCAACAAAAACCAACATGATTAAAAAACAATTACAAAAATCATTCATATATTGAACACCAAGAAATGATGAAAAGACATCAAAACATTCGGAAAAAGTCCACAACTACTGGTTATCAATTATCAAGCCTCAATAATACATGGTTTTAAGTAGCAATCACCTTAGCAACTTCACCATACAAAATATGGTCTTCTTTGGTGAGAATTTGGGTACATTCTATTTGGGTGCGTTTGGTGAGAATTCTGGGTACGAGAATTTTGGGTAGTTCCTCTTCATCCAACTTACAAATTTCTTCCCACAAATTGCGATGCTTGTCAGTGACAGATGACTTTAGAAGTGGAGTACTTGGAAAAATGCTGAATTTAGAAAAGAAAAATCAAGTTTATATAAGTCGCATAAACCAATTTGAAATCACCTATTTCTTGATAATTTATATAATTAAGCAAGCGCGATGTAATCAATTAATACAAATGAACAATAAAGTAAATGTTCAGTAAAATAAAATAAAAGTAAAATAAAAATTTTTGGTAAATAAACAGGGCACTCCACAACCACTGAATAAGAGAAGGTACAACTTATGTATTATGGTATCATTCCAAAGAGTATGGTGATGGGTTGAATACACTTCATGAGAAAAACATTCTTCATACTTGACATAATAAACATTGGGAAATCTTTTATCAATGACATTTTTTCAAACATACAATGACAAAACGAACTTCTAGAGAAGTTCTTTAAAGCACGTTGATCGAAATAAACATCAATGTTAAATTACATTTCAATGATCTCTAACTTGTAATCGAAAATCTCACCATAAAACTAAGTATTTCGCAGTAAAACCTGACTAGATTTGCACCCATATTTTGCAAATCTTCTCTTACAAAGTGCACTAGTCAAAAACGTACTTGTCCAATTTTATTCCGAGTTAAAATAAAACTGACAAAAACAAGAGTCCAGTTAGATATAATGGTACAGAAGAACAGCAAAATTCAATAAAATCATTAACTATATATTGTACTTTTCACCTTACATTCTAGACAGAAGATCTAGACCCTAGACCCCAGATCTAGAAAATCTAGACCCCTTGCCCAGGCAAGTGAGGTTTCTCTCAGTCAGTGGTGAATGTCGACCTTTACTCTCGTCGTGTGAACTGCCACTTGACAAAATTGGCGAGCAAATAATAATTAATTCCGTCAAATATATTTTCTTTCCCAGTCAGTTTTGGTTTTTCCATGCTACACAATAAAATGAACTGTTACGGAAAACTTTTCATATAATTTTTAATGGGATTTTTCATTTGAAAGATAATAGAATTTTGAATCTTACCATAATGTCTTCAACCGTCTTTCGCCATTGTTTCCAGACTCCGCCCAGGATTATCGCTCACGATGTGCTTCCACTTTTCATGAAAAATGAAAAAGAGTAACTGATGCATTGTATTCAATATTCGGTTAATGTAATATTATTTGTATTTTACTCATATGACATACGAAAAAATATTTACCTCTGAGAATGTATTGAATGTATTGTATTTCATAATTCATTTCTACGTAAAACTTAGACTCGAGACTTTAAGTTTTATGGTCAACTTTTTAAAGATGCAATCTTTTTGAACTATAGTCTTTTGTATGAAAATTCGTGAACTATAGTCTTTGGCATGAAAATTCGTGAAGTAAAGTCTTTTGCATGAAAATTCGTGAACTATAGTCTTTTGCATGAAAATTCGTGAAATATAGTCTTTTGAATGAAAAACCGTGATCTATAGTCTTTTTTATTAAAATGCTTGCACTATAGTCTTTTGCATTAAAAATCGTGAACTATAGTCTTTTGCATGAAAATTTTCCATCAAAAAGGTTCCGATCATATTACGGAATATTGCGATGACTTCACGAGCCTACTACGCATGCGACATTTTCCCGCGAAAACTTGAAATATTTTTCTTGTCGTCTTGTTGTTAAAGCATTGTTAAGTTATTTTAAACGTATTCACTTCCAGTTTTAAACCTTTTAAAAGTTAAAGAAATTAAACAACGTTATCTTATCTAATAAGATTGTATCCACAAGTGTGTCTGGATTGTTTGCTAACTCTGCCAGGTATCTATTTCAATTTGAGTATCGACTTTATGTACAGTTGGGGAAAATGCATTTCCTACGTTTAAAAATTGTTTGTTGTTGTTGTGCATTGGTTTTGTAAAGAATGTCGAAGACAGAAAAAGAAGAGCTCAGTGATTATGAACTCCAAAGACTTGCTAAAATCAAGCAAAACCTTGATTTCCTCGAGAATTTGGGCAAGTGCATTTTAGCCTTCATTCGTGAAGCCCAATGTGTTTATGTTGGTATATTTTTGCGTTTATAAAGGCATTGAAGTGGACAGGTCTGCATATCTTCCGAAGCAACGAACAAAGAAGAGAAAATTGACGAAGACAGTAGCAGTGATGAAGAATGGTTACCTGGAAAAGATGAAAATTTTTTGCTAAAGAAAGTAAAGCCAAGTGAGTTAGCTTAAAGACAATTTGCTAATCTATATTTTGTCAGTGAAAAGCACTTTTTAAATATGAATTTGTTTTGTTTTCAGTCTTTAAATCAACATTTAGAAGCAGTTCCGTCACCAAGAAATCTTCAAATAAACAGGTAGCTATGTCGTAAAAAAAAGATGAAAAGAAATGATTGACTATACATGCGTATATTCTTATTAAATTTTATTTACAAAATTTTTGCAGGCTTCTTCGAAAAAATTTTGTGCTCCTTCAGCCACGTCAAATAATGATTTTAATTCATCTGTTGATGACAATTCAATGGTTAAAAATAATGATGAAAAAACTAAATGTAATATTAAAAGAAAATCAATCAAACATAAATGTAAATATTTAAAAAATATACCTTCAAGACGATCTTCGAGAAACTCGTCAAGAAAGAACTATACTGAAGAAGAAGTACCTGACGATGATCATTATATTTGTACGTATTTTACATATTCACGTCGACTCTCAACGTTTTTTTAATGTTCGCTTTATAAACATAAGTTCATCATTGTGATTTCATCTTTTCGTTATAGATTGTGAGCAGTGCGATGATTTTTACTATGGCGAATGTCCATCGCACAATTTTCACATCATTGAAGATAGCACAATGAGATCAAGAAAGGGAACATCAAATGCTTTGAAGACACTTCCTGAAGATCTTTACGTAATACCTTCTACCATACCTGAAGCAGGCATGGGTGTGTTTGCAAATAAAAAGTTAGAGATCAACACTCGTTTTGGACCATACAGAGGAGAGAAAGTTTTGCTTGATGATTTAGAGGAAGGAAGAGATACTTCGTACATGTGGGAGGTAAACATATCGTCTGTATTTTATTTTTTTTTATTAAAATACTTTCTGCTTGTTCCATTAACACCATCCAGCTAAAGAATGTACGACTTTGGCACTACTGTTTACCTGTTGGTGTTTATAGATTCTACAAGAAGGAAAGATTCGATATTATATTGATGGTAAAGATTCAACTCAAGGCAACTGGATGAGATTTGTGAATTGTGCACGATGTGAAGATGAACAAAATATAATTGCATATCAACATCATGGTGAAATTTACTACCGAGTTTATAAAGAGATTGAGGCAGATAAAGAGCTGCTTGTTTGGTATGGAGATGAATTTGCTGAACAACTGGGAGTATCATTGTTTGACGAGGAAGACGACGAGAAACATTTTGAAGGTTAGTTACCTGGTATTGTATGATAATTTAATTTTTTATATAGTGATCTTATGATATCTAACTATTCTTTTATAGTTGGAGGTCACAGCTGCAGACATTGTGGAAGGATGTTTACTTATTTTAATTTCTTAGAGAAACATTTAAAAAGATGTCCACTGCTTGTTTGTACAAAGCTATGCGAATGTCCACATTGTAGTCGAAAGTACAGTAGCGAGGACTACCTAAATGTTCATATAAAAAATGAATGCAGAAAAAATCCACTGTTACAAGACAAATTGTCGTGTAAGGAAACGAATTATTTTTCAGTTGGCAATGATAAACGTCGAAGCAATAGTGGGAACTGTGTTTTGAAATTATCGCAGAGAGTTGAAGAAAATTATGCAGGAGAGAAACATGACGGATTGAGACGTTATCAATGTGAACATTGTGGTAAAACATTTACAAGGCTCTCTCACTTGAATCAACATGTTAGAATTCATACTGGAGAAAAACCTTATCAATGTGAACATTGTGGTAAAACATTTACACAGCTTGGTGACATGAATAGACACGTTAGAATTCATACTGGAGAAAAACCTTATAAATGTGAACATTGTGGTAAAACATTTACAGTGCTTGGTTCCTTGAATCAACACGTTAGAATTCATACTGGAGAAAAACCTTATCAATGTGAACATTGTGGTAAAACATTTACAGTGCTTGGTTCCTTGAATCAACACGTTAGAATTCATACTGGAGAAAAACCTTATAAATGTGAACATTGTGGTAAAACATTTACAGTGCTTGGTTCCTTGAATCAACACGTTAGAATTCATACTGGAGAAAACCTTATCAATGTGAACATTGTGGTAAAACATTTACAGTGCTTGGTTCCTTGAATCAACACGTTAGAATTCATACTGGAGAAAACCTTATCAATGTGAAAATTGTGGTAAAACATTTACACATCTTCATCACTTGACTCAACACGTTAGAATTCATACTGGAGAAAAACCTTATCAATGTGAACATTGTGGTAAAACATTCACACATCTTAATAGCTTGAAACTACATAAAAATATCAAACATTAAAACATTTTATAAATTATGAGTAAAGTATGTGTGCGAGTGATAACAAATTTCGTGGATGATTATGTAAATTTAGTAAATATTTTCAAAAAATTTTTTGCAGTTGAGTTGATTATAAACAATATATTATTTATTCACGTGAACATCGAGAATGACGTCATTATAATGTATAGTAAATATAACATTCTTTGTAAAACTCTGTGTTGAACAACAGGTTTTCTTTCGCAAATCATTTTAGTGGAATCAAATCATGAACGGCTGTGAAAATAAGTTTGGTATGCAAGATTTGCCAGATAGATGATGGTGAAGACTGGTTGGGATGTGATTCATGTGGGCAGTGCAAATTTTATCTGAGAAAACCTCGGTTTGGCCCTGTTTCGGCTCTTTTTCAAAAAAGGAAGAGCAATACAAATGTACTCAGTAACTCAATAGTAAAATAACAATACAACGAGGTGCCGTAACTTTTTACACTTAGGGTAAGCTAACGGTGCTTGTTTAGTATGTGTTTTTGTTTTTTTAAGATCTGTGGTGATACCATGTCTTGCGCTTTGTATAGTTTTAATGAAACTTTGCGCTTTTGTAATGATTGGCAAAAATTCATTCGGTTATACGTACATTCGATGTAATTTTGTACACTTTCCGAAGAGAGTCTGATAATTCTTTCTGTTAGTTTTTTTACATTAATTGCGTTTGTATTGTTTCTTCGATGATTGCTGCATCTCCGTTTACATAATAGAAAACCCTCTATGTTAAATGCTTCCTCCTTACGAGAATCGCGAAATTTCAATTGCAGACTATAGCCTGCTTTGGTTTTTATCAAAAATCTTTTTGTGTTCCATGAAGTAAATGTGTGAAAACATTTTATGATTGACTCAAATTGCGGCAGTGATAGGAAGTGTTTTTTTAAACTTTGTACTAATCTGGATCGTTAGTTCTTAACTGAAAAGAAAAACATAGGTAAGCAACGTTTACACTTGTCGTTCTTAGCTTAAATCTTCAGTAACGACAATTACTATACTTGTAGTTTTTCAACTTCAGAAAATAAACAAAAAAAATATTTTAATAATATAAATATATAAATATTTGAATATAAATATAAATATTTTAATAATATTTATAAATAATAATATAGTTATTCCAAAATAAATCAACTTTTTTAGTCCAGCGCCGCAAACTTGTATGACCAGTTTTAATCAGTTTTGGATAAAAAAATGTATTACAAGCATGAACGCTAACTCCAATTTTCTTACTAGGCTCGGCAATCATATGCAAATATGCGTTCACGACCTCGTTGTTAAGCATTGCTTGAGGTCTCAGCGTTATGATGTCAGCTCTAGTAAGCTCCAAGAGAAGTTCATTCGATGCACCATGACCCAGGGACTTGTTAATCTAAAAATGGGAAACATTCATGTGAGATTGTACCGCGATGTGGAATATATAACGAGCGTGAATGATTACGATTGCAACACACATGCAGAGTAAAGGATATAGCATGACAGGTTAATATTGCAACATACATGCAGAGTAAAGGATATAGCATGACAGGTTGGGATTGCAACACACATGCAGAGTAAAGGATATAGCATGATAGGTTGGTATTGCAACATAAATGCAGAGTAAAGGATATAGCACGACAGGTTGGGATTGCAACACACATGTAGAGTAAAGGATATAGCATGACAGGTTAAGATTGCAACATACATGCAGAGTAAAGGATATAGCATGACAGGTTGGGATTGCAACACACATGCAGAGTAAAGGATATAGCACGACAGGTTGGGATTGCAAGACACATGCAGAGTAAAGGATATAGCATGACAGGTTGGTATTGCAACATACAAGCAGAGTAAAGGATATAGCATGACAGGTTGGTATTGCAACATACATGCAGAGCAAAGGATATAGCATGACAGGTTGGGATTGCAATACACATGCAGAGCAGAGTAAAGGATATAGCATGACAGGTTGGGATTGCAACACACATGCAGAGTAAAGGATATAGCATGACAGGTTGGTATTGCAACATACATGCAGAGTAAAGGATATAGCATGACAGGTTGGGATTGCAATACACATGTAGAGCAGAGTAAAGGATATAGCATGACAGGTTGGGATTGCAAGACACATGCAGAGTAAAGGATATAGCATGACAGGTTGGTATTGCAACATACAAGCAGAGTAAAGGATATAGCATGACAGGTTGGGATTGCAATACACATGCAGAGCAGAGTAAAGGATATAGCATGACAGGTTGGGATTGCAACACACATGCAGAGTAAAGGATATAGCATGACAGGTTGGGATTGCAACACACATGCAGAGTAAAGGATATAGCACGACAGGTTGGGATGGCAACACACATGCAGAGTAAAGGATATAGCATGACAGGTTGGGATTGCAACACACATGCAGAGTAAAGGATATGGCATGACAGGTTGGGATTGCAACACACATGCAGAGTAAAGGATATGGCATGGCAGGTTGGGATTGCAACACACATGTAGAGTGAAGGATATGGCATGGCAGGTTGGGATTGCAACACACATGCAGAGTAAAGGATATGGCATGGCAGGTTGGGATTGCAACACACATGCAGAGTAAAGGATATAGCATGACAGGTTGGGATTGCAACACACATGCAGAGTAAAGGATATAGCATGACAGGTTGGGATTGCAACACACATGCAGAGTAAAGGATATAGCATGACAGGTTGGGATTGCAACACACATGCAGAGTAAAGGATATAGCATGACAGGTTGGGATTGCAACACACATGCAGAGTAAAGGATATAGCATGACAGGTTGGGATTGCAACACACATGCAGAGTAAAGGATATAGCATGACAGGTTGGGATTGCAACACACATGCAGAGTAAAGGATATAGCATGACAGGTTGGGATTGCAACACACATGCAGAGTAAAGGATATGGCATGACAGGTTGGGACTGCAACACACATGCAGAGTAAAGGATATGGCATGACAGGTTGGGATTGCAACACACATGCAGAGTAAAGGATATGGCATGACAGGTTGGGACTGCAACACACATGGAGTAAAGGATATGGCATGACAGGTTGGGATTGAACAAAGTAAGGATAGGACATGACATGGTAACATACATGGAGTAAAGGATACATGACAGGTTGGGCAAACACATGGAGGATATTTGGGATTGCAACACATGCAGGGTAAAACAGGTTGGGATTACAACACACACAGGTTGGTATTGCAACATACATGCAGAGTAAAGGATATAGCATGACAGGTTGGGATTGAAACAAACATGCAGAGTAAAGGATATGGCATGACAGATTGGGATTGCAACACACATACAGAGTAAAGGATATAGCATGACAGGTTGGGATTGAAACAAACATGCAGAGTAAAGGATATGGCATGACAGATTGGGATTGCAACACACATGCAGAGTAAAGGATAGGGCATAACAGGTTGGGATTACAACACACATGCAGGGTAAAGGATATAGCATGACAGGTTGGGATTACAACACACATGCAGGGTAAAGGATATGGCATGACAGGTTGGGATTGAACAAATATGCGAGTGAAGGATATAGCATGACAGGTTGGGATTACAACACACATGCAGAGTGAAGGATATGGCATGACAGGTTGGGATTGAACAAATATGCGAGTGAAGGATATAGCATGACAGGTTGGGATTGCAACACACATGTAGAGCGAAGGATATATTGGATTGGAATAGAATAACTTAATGATAATCCACGTATGTGTCAATTATCACGTGATGTTTATAACAGGTCGTATAATGTAAGGAACGAACAATATGCAGCAATAAATGAAATACAATAGTAGATTGTAGTGAATATAAATAGAGCTAATATATAAGAGATGAATACTGCATATAAATAGAGCTTTTACCTGGTTATAAAAGGACTGCTATGGCAAAAATTAAAGGTAACCGTACTTTTTATAGTATAACCTTTAATCCTAATAGTCTTAAACCGAATGAACAAGTTTATGTTAATATTCCGAAATTGAAAGCAAATAGTTGCTTAGTGCCTAGTTCACTTAATCTATCGTTTGATCTTAAAATCAGTAATACAAAAAGTCACTTTTTAAATAATCTCAGTCAGATTTTACAACATAGACTACAAATTAAAGTGGCTGGTGAAACCCTTTACGATTGTAGTGAACATAAATATACAATACATTATATTTTACATTACATTAATTTTATTTTACAATTGTTAATCTATTGTTCACATCATTGGGATGAAGACTGTATATAGCTAGCTAATTTGAAAAATAAAGCAATGTTTTACCCATGCACCAAAATATATCAAAATAAATTCATCAAATGTTCAAGTGGTAAATTAAAGAGATGTTTCTAGAGTTTTTTTTATTGAAGTCATACATCACAATTTTGATTACAAAAGGAGGTTTACAATTCAATTGAAACTACAGCAAAATACAATAAAAAAATGGCCAAAGAACAATTCAAAGTAATATTTTCTAGTTCCATTTTATAATCAGTTTATTATACGTGTATACCTGTGTGATATCTGTGGAAGCAAGGTCTTTAGCAACCCTTGTCATAGAGTCTATAAATAACACTTAATTTTCAAATTTCATTTGTGCAAAGCCGTTATTGCTTTATTTATATGCAATAACCAAATTCCATAAGAAGCAATGGGCCAGTAATTATAGTTGCTTTCATTGATGAACTAAAATGGTTCTATAATGAATAATTTAAAACTTTTGATTTCTCATAAGAAAATTCTCTGACACTTAGTACAGAAAACATGGCTTAGTGGGTACTCATCATTAGCCATAGAATCTAGAACCACAAATCAAAGAGTTTCTCAAATTTACTTAAGCAGCATATTCAATACTTTTAATAGGAAGATGTATTCCATGCATTTCATTTCATGCTTGATACATCAAATGTAGTTTTTTCAAATTGTGGCCATTTTGGTCATTGGTGTATAAGTTCTATGAGAGGAATCTAAACTAAAGCTAACAATGAGTCAAAAAAACCTAGAACTTGTCCAAATTGGATGTAGGGGATGACTTATGACTAGTGTACATTTTTTAATAACTACTACAAAACGACAGATTGACAATCACAAATTCTCTTTTAAAACATTAAATACAGTTTATCACGTTATATGAGTGTGAAAAATCCCCCATGAAAGTCTGGAGTAACATGTATTTGCTTTTGTCGTCTAAAGACATGTATTATTCTAGTCAAATTGCATTATATACTATAAGTATAACACCAACCGTTACATATAACACTATAATGATTATAGTTACTTATTCTTGACAGGTATTTACCTATTCCACTTTCTTTTAATCGTGAATTTTCTCTCTGGAGTACGAGTACTCCAAACCAATTTTTTAACAATACCACAGAATAGATACAACGTATCTATTCTGTATCAATATACTATGTATCTATTCTGTGACAATACTTTGTCATTAAACATTCATAATACTTTGTCAGTATAAAATATACTTAACTTCCGCGCCCACGAATGTTTAATCAGCGGTAGTAGCAGTTGCTGCCATGCCATTGAACTGTAATAACAACATATTACAAATAACAACCATTGAGTTCTATAAGACCTATAAGTTCTATTCTTATAGAACTCAACAACAACATATTTATATTACATTTCACTACTGTGCAAGCTGATCTGTTGCAGTCATAGATTGACTTATTGGTTGCAATTGGTTGCAATTGTCAGGGCCGTACCGAAGGGGTTGCTGAGGGGGGGTGAAGCACCCCAAAGTTTATTACATTACGCTATAATTAGTCCAGCTGTTAATGAAAAAATTCTTCACTTGAATGATACAAGTATGAAACTTTCTCACATTCTTACTATGCCTAGTAACACAAAATTTTGATATAGGGCCAGCCCATATTTTACATTTAAAACGAGTTCTGCGAATGTCGTGTTTGATGACGTCGTCGGTAGTAAAAAACATAAAGTTCATAGAAATCTGCAATTTCCCTGTATATTCTAATACAAAAGCTAAAGACGATAGGAAAACTATATTACAACTTTTGCTTTTGAGCAATACATTCTGAAATATTCTACATTAAAAGTGTTTTAAAAGTGCTGACTCAGCACTTTTTTAAATTGAACACCCAAAAAAATATGCGCACGTCGTGTGGGATATTGCATTCTTTTTAGCTTAGCAATGAAATTGTCGTAACTATGTTAGTTTCACTTTAACATTTCCTTGTTTTAAGTACATATTGTAAGTTCTTTGTTTGTTTAGTTTCTTCTTCTTTTTTGTTGCAATGCGTGAGAACTTGAAACGCAATGAAAGAGTGAGTACTGCTAATGACGTAAAGGAAAGCTCGACTTATGTAATTACCGATAGTATAAATAACATGTAAATAATTAACTCTAATAGATAGCGTAAAAATACACCAGTGATGTACTTGTGTAGCTTGTTTAGTTTGTAAAATAAAAGGTTCAAAACGAAGAGTGTTAGTGAACCAGCTGAGGAGCGGAATCCTCGACACACGTCATTACAATCTTAAAGCACAGTTTTACAACAAGAACAAGTAAGGACATAATAATAGATTACTTTATGGTTAGTCAGTGCGTACGATTTTTATGCACGAGTTGACAATCAATTAGGTGATTGTTTTCAAACGTTTCAAAACAATGAAGTGACAAAAAGTGTTAAAAACCTGAAATGTTAAAGGATAGAATGAGTAAGTATTCTGAATGCTAACACGAGTAAGGTAATAAAGCCGTTAGGGCACATTTATATACACTTTATATATATATATATAATAAGTTTGAAAATTTGTAATCCAGGCATTGAATATATAAAAGATAAAAGGCTCTTATGAAGGCTTATCTTCTGATGAAGGCTCGAAGCAACGAGTTGAAAGCTCAATAAAAATCATTTAAAAAATCCGGAGAAACGTTTTATCTTTTATATATATATAATAATTTAAAATAAAATAAACCACGAATTACTTCATAGGAATTTATTCCCTACAGAACTGTTTCGTATGGCAGTTGTTTAACTTGCCACACTCGAACTGTTTCGTATGGCAGTTGTTTAACTTGCCACACTCGAACTGTTTCGTATGGCAGTTGTTTAACTTGCCACACACTTCTCCTGACGAGTGTGGCAAGTTAAACAACTGCCATACGAAACAGTTCTGTAGGGAATAAATTCCTATGAAGTAATTCGTGGTTTATTTTATTTTCAATTATACCGCTCTGCCGTCGCATTGAGCACTCTATCCGTGCGATTTTGTTTGCGATAGCTTTTATCACAAAATCCTATTATATATATAATATATATAAAAGTGCTGACTCAGCACTTCTCAGAATATTCCATGCACAATATTTGGGAAAGTATAGCCCAAAAGAAAAAGTTTTAATTTAGTTTTTCTATCGTCTTTAGCTGTTGTATAAGAATATACAGGGAAATTGCAGATTTCTATGAACTTTATTTTTTTTACTACCGATAACGTCATCAAACACGACATTCGCAGAACTCGTTTTAAATGTAAAATATGGGCTGGCCCTATATCAAAATTTTGTGTTACTAGGCATGGTACGAATATGAGAAAGTTTCATACTTGTATCATAAAGTGAAGGGTTAAGTGTTTTTTTGTCGTTAAAAACTGGACTAAATTGGAAAATTGGATCTTATTCAGTTTGTCTTCATATATTTCACATGCGAAAAAATAAAAGTTAGGTAAATGGCATAATTGCATTTATTGATTTCGCTTTGTGCCTTCTTGTTTAGCCTGGTTCTAAAACATTAGACTATGACTGGTTGGCAAATTCGTAATGCCAAATTAACTGCAGGATTGTTTTTCCTGGTATTTAATGAATTATGAAAGAGAATTTGTTAGGGTTTGGGTCTAAGGTTTCCGCTAAACTGCAGTAGTCCCCGTAATTTGATAAGCGATTCTAGGCTGTTTAGTCTAATGTTTCTTATAATTGAAAAGGATCTCATTGATCAAATTGAATTTGACAATGTAGTAGAGAAGTGAGAACAATAATGTGCTCGACGTTTGAAACATTAATAACTGAACCAATGCATACTTTTCCACATTCAAAATAAATGAGTATTGATCCGTGGTGTGACAAATAAGATTAACATTATAATGTCAATCTTATTTGTCACAAGATAATGTCAGTATGTTTGGATTTTTATTCGGAAAATTTTGGTCGGCACAACCCGCCCCCCCGCCCACACACACAGTGAACTTTATTATAGAGAATTATGTGAGACACGATTGCTTCAAAAGTTTCCTATTAAGCTAATTAGGAAAAAATATAGATGTGAAAAATGATTGAAACATTTGACCAATTTAAATGTACCTTCATAACTAAATAAGATGTGCACATGATTAGAATATCATGAATAGCTAGGTAATAACAAGGTATTTATTGGTATTTACAAACTAAATTTGCATACACTTGTAGTGACAGAAATAATTAAAATATTTTTAAGTGAACTTTTTCTTGCTTCATACAATTATTTCAAAATAGATTTATAACAAAATACTGAAAATCATCAATCCAACCAAACAAATGACTAGTAATGAAAATGAAAAACATAAAATTTCCACTGTTGCAATGGTTTATATCATCATATCATTTCAAACATTACAAACAAATGATAGTGTTGTTGTTTGATGAATGTTCAATGATTTATTACTGTACCACAGTAATTGGATTTAGCTTTCGTCCTTGTATCTTTATTTACTTTCTAGATTTGTCATAATATTGTTGAACGTTGCTACAGCCGAATATGCATTAATGATTATTTAAATGTTATAGTCCCTCGGGCATTAAATGAATATGGAGTAACCCAGGAACTTCGACATCATGTGACATGTAACAATTAGATTGAGCTTGAATCGAAAACAAAAAAATAAACTTATTGAGTGATGGTTTTGTTCGTGATACAGACACCATTTTCAGCAATTCCTTATGATTATGTCTTGGGTAAACTTTTCGTTTTGGAGTAGAGGGGCAATACTATAAACACATGCAGTTAAATACGCTTTTTACCAATGTGCACACACTTCTTTGAAGTAGGACTTAGACACTTCTTTTTGTTTTATGCTATTCTATCAGCCGACTCAATTTCATATAAAAAATATCTGGACGTCAAAAGCTACGCAAGTCTGTGACAGGGAAGGTAATTAACAAATTTTGCATGAAATAAAAATCGCAAAAAAACGGTTTTAATTTTGAAGCTTCAGTGGTATTTAACGCTGATATTTTGAAATCACAGAAGTAGTTTCTAAAACTGTCGGTATGACGTTGTTACAGTAGGCGAAAATCGACTAGTAGAAAACTGGATGAATATAAATGAAGTTGTGACTTGTTTGGGATGATTTACCGTCTAAGTTACAAAAAAAATCACCGAGAAGTCTTGTGGAAGTAACCTAACGATGTAAATAGGTTCCCTCCGTCCACGAATAATCATACATATTCAATACATCGTTTCAGCTCAATCTGGCTTCCCTGTGGGGCAGGGGTGGGGTTGATTATAGTCAGAATCTCTAACTACAAAACACTCTTCATTCCAATGTACTCGAACATAACACAAATTTTGAACAACAACTGTAAAGTTTTATTTAACTATTAAATAACTGAGGGAATCATTTCGAGAAACACCAAACTAAATAATTAATTTTACATGACTTTCAGCATCTTAAATCATAAATCTAAACAATCATTGGAGGACGCTCCTGAGGTACATGAACACATAAAATTTTAGAGACGCAATCGTCACAACATTCGTCAACAAACATTTCAAACAAACGTCGTTGATTCGTTAACTTTAGTTTTGGGATTTTCCAGGATTATATCCATCTTTTGATTATCCAATGGAACATTGGGATCCTCTTTGTTTTGCTTTTCCCCGATCAGCACATGCTTCTCCATTTGATCAACTGCTAAGAAGTACACAAATACCACTGTGCATGCGTCAGACAGTATACTTCCTGGAATTTCCTCCTCTTGTCGTATGGACGAGCGTATTCCTGTAACGTAAGCGAAAAAACCACAAAGAAAAATGCGACCAACATGAGGCAAAGCCGAGTCGACAAAATGAAGAATTTCACATAAAATCCAAGCATAAAACAATGATGCCATAATTGCCATGAAGGACCAACAACTTCTTTTGTAAAACTTTTTAGCAGCTCGTCCTGCTGGTAACCAAGGTGCAACAACTGCTATCACGAATCGTTTCAGCGAAATAACAGATGGGTTATCTAGCACATCAAATAAACTGACATTAAACTTCGCTGAATCTGGACTAACATCACCAAATTCCTCTTTAACACAACGCAAAATAGAAACGCACATAAGATGAAGAATAGCGAGGTATGGCAACCCAGATGCAATTGATACGGTTTGCAGAGCATATAAAGCATCTTCGCCACCAGCCTTGAGCAAAGTAGTGACACAAGCACCTTCGGTCAAAGCCCAAAATACACGTTGTGCTACGGGGGGATCTGGGCTACCATTGGCTGACAAACAGTCAATAACAAGAGAGCCGCTGTCTGAACTTGTAACAAAATAAAGAATTATACTGATGACTGCGACGATATTGAGCACATCATTACACATCTTTATACAAATGTTCAATCTTTCACAATTTGTCAACTTCAGATGTTTGACGAAGAATTCAACGGCAAATATTGAACTGGAGTTATCTCGACCAGTTTGTGTGGAGTTGTATAGAGATTGTAGGAATCTTGGTCGTTTTATGCTACGGTATGGTGGAAAGACTATCGCTGCGGGTCACGAAGGTAAGATTCTTTTGTCAAAAATTTTCTTTTCATGCTGTCAAATTAAAGTTGTTTTTTTTCTACAGAAAAGATGAGAATGAGTTTTATCGAGTTTGAATTTTTAATGAAATATTTCAGAATTTAAAAATTGGGAAGATTGTCATAACATTCCATCTTTGCACGAAGGAATTTTAATCTTCTCAAGATGTGAGAAATTTTTTGTTGTTTTTTTTAAGATTTGATATTCAACATAAATAAGATGAATTTTGTGGAAAAAAATCTGGAAAAAAAGTCTTGTAGTGGTGTAAATTTTAAATAATATCTATGATATAAGAAATGAATTTTATTGACCAGTATATTCCTGTAGTGAAATTCTATTGAACTTCCATTTTCAATTTAGTAATTCTTGTACAGAGTTTCAACAAAAGGATATGCACAAAATATCTCTCGTTTTATAAAAATATTTATATAAATAATTTTAATAATTAAATAACCATATTTTACACATTTTCTTCTTTTAGCGTATGGTATCAAGTGACACGTTAAGTACGTGCAACTCTCAAGACAAAATACCATCACACTTTTTTATGGTAATTTAGCATATTCACGCTTGCATTTCAAGGATGATTTAGTCCTTGTTGCACTAAAGAAGATCAAAAACTAACTTCGGACTATATTGGTAAGATTATCACCGCGAAAATAATCATGGCGTGGTGGCAACGCTTCCCACTTGACCAGACTGTTGAAATATTTCTTTCACACGTGGACAGAGAAACGGGAAATATTTTCGTTCAACTTAGCAATGAAGATAGTCCAAAACTGGAACAACTCATGGATGATATTGTTAACCATACAGAAGAAAATATTGACGGTAATACCAACCCCAAATCTTTGAGTGTTGGAGATGTCTGCTTAGCGAAATATATCGATGGTGTTTGGTATCGTGGTAAAATTTTAGGCGTTAAAAAAACTGGCTTTAAAGTGTTTTTTGTTGATTACGGTAATACTGACATAGTTGCCGCTTCAGATATAACATCTTCCCCGGAACGCTTTCTTAGTTTACCCCCACAGGCATTTGAATGTGAGCTTGCTAATGTGAAACCCGTCTGTGGCCATTGGGGGACAGAAGTGATGATAAAGTTAGAAGAATTAATCTTAGAACAAACATTTATTGCACAAGCCATAGCATTAAAGAGTAATAATGGTGTTGTCCTTAACATTTTTCAAAATACAGATCCAAATAAGCTTGTTGTTGAACCCTTAATTGCTGCAGGCTATCTTCAATATACAGGTGAACTTAATGAGAAACGTCAAATTACACCGACTTGTAAGTACAAGTACTTACACCTTAATAAATTCTGCTATGAAGATGTTTATGTTACATACTGTGAAAGCCCTTGGAAATTTTACTGCGTCCTGTTTAAAAATTATACGGCACTCTCAAAATTACAAGAAGAATTGGAAGTCTCCTATAGTGAAACATCTGAGAGTGTTTACCAGTTAGACTCTTGTCATCAAGGTAACCCATGCTGTGTCAAGTACTCTGTAGATGAATCTTGGTATCGTGCTGTTATCACGAGTGAAGCTCTTTCTTCGTCTGGTGAAGTTACCGTTAAGTTTGTTGATTATGGTAACTCGGAAAGTGTACGTATCTCGTGCTTAATGAAATTGGATGAAAGGTTTCTTGAGTTACCAATGCAAGCTTTAGAGTGTAAGCTCTATGGTGTGCAACCTTTAGATGGTGGTGATGAATGGCCACAAGATGTTGTTCACATGTTTAAAGATCTTATAGAAGAAAAAGATTTTGCTAGTTGTCTTACTGAAGTGATGGAAAATGCTGTTGAAATATTTTTGTTTGATATTTCAGAAGAGGATAAAAACGTTAATATTTCACAACTCTTGGTAGGCAAAGAAATGGCAACTGCTGTTAAGGATTTATCTAACTATAAGAAGTTCAATCCACATGAGCGAAGGAGGTCCTCGTTCGGTGTTATCAATCTTGTGCCTCACACTAAAGAGTTGGTTGTTGTGACAAATGCGGAATCTCCTTCAAATTTCTATTGTCAATTAATAAAAAATATGGATGGTCTAAATAATCTGATGGAGGCATTAAGCAAATATTATGAAAAACTATCAGAAATTGATGATACGATTAATCTACCCTTTGTGGGAAAGATGTGTTGTGCCAAATATTCCGAGGATGACAGGTGGTACAGGGCGTTGATCCTCAAAACGGATCTCTCAGCAAGAGAAGTCAAAGTGTTGTACGTTGATTATGGCAACATGGAAAGACTATCTACATCCAGAATCAAGGAAATAAAAGCTCAGTTTCTCACCTTACTACAGCAAGCAATTCCTTGTTCATTGTACGGTATAAAACCTAGAGGCGTGTCATGGTCTGATGAGGCAATTAGAAAGTTACAAGAAGTGGTTGTTAATAAAGAGATGATGATTGAAGTTATATCTCACAATGACAGTCAATATTATGGTGTAGCTTTGATGCAGACCATTGGTGAAGAGTGTTATAGCATAAATAGAGAATTTATTCAGAAAGGTAGTGATTTTATTGAATGGAAAATGTTTTTATTTTTATTTTACTTAAAACAGATCTCCGTAGACCATTACCTATACCAATACACAACCACCATTTACACCAATATATCCAACACCTTCCCACATACACCACCACATCCTACTCCATACACCAGCACCTCCCTCTATACCTTTACCAACTATACCAATTTACCATAATCTACTTCCATATACCAGCACCTTTCCACATACATCACCACTATCTACACTAATATACCATCATCTACTGGTATACACCACCATCACCTCCTCCCACATACCAGCATCTACCCTCATATACCTTCACCAACGTCATCAATATACCATCAGCTACCCACCATACACTGTCACCTACCCCATAATCACCATCTACACTAATATACCATCATCTACCCCTATACACCACCATCACCTACCCACCAGACACCATCAGCTATCCCCATACATCACCATCACCTACCCACCATACATCAGCTACCCCATACATCACCACCTACCCACCATACATACACACATCTACACTATATCATCATCTACCCCATACACCACCATCACCTACCCACCATACATCAGCATATACATCACCATCACCTACCCACCATACACCGTCAGCTACCCCCATACATCACCATCTACACTAATATACCATCATCTACCCCTATACATCACCATCACCTACCCACCATACACCATCACACATCACCACCTATATTATACAAAAAATTACTCCAGGTAAAGCAACAAACTCTCCCTTCAAAAATCTCCTACTCAAAAACTATTTTCTTTCATTTACAAACTTTTCATGAGTAATTGCTACAATTTCCCAGTAAAGAGTTTCCCTGTTACCTCACCAACTTACGTAGCTATATATCACCACCCTACAAGTATTCCAAAGCTTTCTCTTTCATAAATGTAGCCATCAATTCCCATCTATTGTCCAGTATCATTCCCTCATCCATCTCATTTCATGTTGTAATACCTGACCGTGAATCTGGTGTTATTTTCTATAAAACTATAATTTTTAATACTTTGTTTTGGGTTTTTCTTTAAGGTTATGCTGTCTCAAATATTGGACAATTTGTTGTAAGTCTGGGAACAAACATCACAGGTTATCAATTTCCTACCATTGAAATTCCTGGCTATGAAGATGTTGAAGTCACTCATGTTGAAAATCTCGACGCATTTTGGTGCCATCTTACGGATTCTGCTACGGAAATGGAAAATCTCATGACTAATCTTCAAGATTATTACGATGTTAATCCACCTAAAAGTACTGACTTAGATTTATTGAAAGAAGGCAAGCAGCGATGAATTTTGGTCTTGTTTTATCAAAACATCTTTCTTCTTTAACTGTTTGTTTGACATTATTTATTCAGGTTCTCCTTGTTGTGCGCGTTTCAGTGAAGATCAAATGTGGTATCGTGGAAGGATTCTACAGAAATTAACCAATAAACGCTTCAAAGTTCAATACGTAGATTATGGGAACTGTGAAGTGTTGACTTTAAAAAGGTTACAACCACTGTATCCAAATTTCACATGCCAATATTTATTTGTAAAAGTTCATTGCTTATTTCTAAATGTTCTTGTTTTATACAGTATAGCCGTGCTGAGTCAAGAGTTTTTACAATTACCTGTCCAAGCAATTGAATGTGGCCTTGTGAATATTTCATCGTCGAAGAGGAATAAGAGCAAATATGTCGAGCAGTTTCACGACCTTGTCGACGGTAAAGAACTCGTCTGTCGTATTGAGAATCTTACAGATAATGGCAAATATCTGGTTTTGATTTTGAACACCGAGAGAGAAACAGTTGTAATCAACGAGATAATGAACTTGTTTATTGAAAATGATGGAAAAGAAGCGGCCGGGAAAGGTAAATATGTTTTGTGCGGTGTTTTTTTATTGTTTTAATGGTCGGTATTTCATTGGAATTATTAATTTAGTGCCTTTCTTGTGTTGTGTCACATTTTGTAGTTATATCACAAACTTTTTAACTCACAGGCTACAACTAAAGGGAATTTTTCTTAAATTGCATACTACCTTAAACGCCATTTTATCTGACATGGTTTTGGGCATAGTCAATTTTTTCTAGTTGAGTGAGTGAAGTTTTGACATCATGTGTTTGAATAAGTTTGTGTGCTGTTGTTTCGAAATATTTGAAATCGTCTTTGAATTCCAGCAGAAATTCCAGCTGAAATTGCACCCGCTAAACCCTTCATTGGCAGCGATGTTTCTGTGTACGTCACTTATGTGAACGATCCGCGAGATTTCTACTGTCAATTTACAAACACTGCTTCTCAACTTGACGATATAATGAACAACATGGAAACGTACTATCGCGATTTAAACGAAGACCAAGAAAGATTTACTAATCCGAAAATTGGAAACACTTGTTGCGCACAGTTCACTGTTGATGATGGATTTTATCGTGCTGTTATCACTAATGTTTTATCCGACGCTGTTGTTGTACGTTATGTTGATTACGGAAACACCGAGGAACTGCCATTTTCACGTCTTAAATGTCTCGACAGCTCCTTCGTTCACCTTCCAGAACAGGCTTTCAACGCAACTTTGTTGTTTTCAAATTGTGGCAGCGCGCCAGACTTTGAAAACTGTGTTGTCGACAGAGAACTCAAAGCAACGATTGTTAAACAAGACGATATTGGAAGGTACTGCGTTCAATTGGCCGATGCAAATGGAAAGTTGTTGTTTGAAGATCAATCAAAAGAAGGTAGGCAAAATTTGAATACATGTTTACCATTGATGTGTACAGATGTTTACATGTTCTTGGAAGATCGTCATACTGTAACACATATGCTCAAAACAATCGTGTTATTCAACTATGTTTCTTTCGTTAGATAAAACTTCAAAGAAACAATGCAAAGTAAAGATTACAAAACTTCAAGTTGGAAGGAAAATTCCCGTGTATGTAACGTTTGCCATAAATTCACAATATTTCTTCTGTCAAGCAACAGGAAGTTCCGTTCAATTGGATGATTTGATGAATGAAATAGAAGAACATTACAGGCCACTGAATGAAAGCGATGAAAAATATTCAGAGCCACAAGTACTGCTACATAATCAACAATTTTTTACACAAAATGTTGCAACGAAATGTTTAACTCAGTTATTTTTTTTGTATGTAGATAGGTGAATCTTGTTGTGCAATGTTTACTGAAGACGATGGTTGGTATCGAGCAACAGTTATAAATCATTCCGGAAATGACGTTCGTCTATGCTACCTTGACTACGGAAACACGGAGACATTACCTTTGTCTAGAGTGAAGTGTTTGTTAGACGATTTCACAGTTCTTCCAGCGCAAGGTTTTCATGCAAGAATGGATGTTCCTTCTGGTATTGATGCTTCGTCTTTTAAAGATTCCGTATTGGAGAAGGAATTTGATGCTAAAATTGTGAAAGAAATCAAGGAGAACGTTTACAACATCGAGCTTTTTTCGGCTGATGGAACCAAGCTATTTTCGCAGAAACCATGTGGTAAACTGAACTTATAGTATTTTTTTCACTTGTTACTTTTTCTTATTGTTATTTTTAATTTTCTTTCTTTTCATTGACTCACCAATTCGGAGTTCAATATGCTTCTGAAAGCCTAATATGACATGTGAGACCAATTATATTGAACTCTGAGGCTTCATATCGTACTTAAATATCTGAAGTACAATATCTTTGACTAGCTTTATGTTATTAGACATTTCAAATAAACGACTAATTTTTTCAAAGCAAACATGTTTCGGCATACTTTATGCCATCTTCAGTGCGAAGTGAACAAATATAGGAAGTTTACATGATAATGTGTTATAGTGATAAAGAGGAAATATCGACTAGTTACGAATAATTTTTTACAGTTGAATGAGTTGATATAAAATGTTTGTGTTAGGTTTTATCACAAAAAGAAAAAAAATTACAAAGAAAATGAAAAATATCTGATAAGGTAGTAATAGCTATTTACAGGTCAAAGATAGTGTTAAGATGTTGTATTTGTTTGTTGAGGTTGGGTTTACGATTCTTGATATAAAGGGCTTCTTTGAGTTTAAGAGCGAAAGGAGTGTGAGCGGTGTCTAAGATACGGAAACAGGATTGTGTTTAATTGTTTTTGCAGTGTGATGACGAGAGTAAGTGTCTGAATATGTTTGAGTTTTTGTCCGTGGTTGTGCGTTCTTTAATCCGCGTGGAAAGATGGCGGGTAGTCTCCCCAATGTAACTGGAATTACATCCAGCACAAGAAAATTCATAAACCATGTGGGATTTTAAAAGAATGGGAATAGGATCTTTGAAGCTAAAGTGATTTTTGATTTTAAAAGATGAAAAGGCTACCGACAAGTTAGCCGTATTTGTTATCTGGTTCTTACGTCATTGTATTGTGTGTACAGGAAATGTGTATTGTCATTTTTAGTTGATCGTTTGTTTGTATTGTGAATAAGTCGTTTGTAAAGCCCGCCGCACACTGGTGAACTTGCCGCGCGTACTTGTTATTCGTGACAAGTGTGATCGACAGAATTTCCTAGTGTGCGTGTAAGTTTTGAACAACATTTGTCATTCGTGACAGATGAGTCAAATATCAAACGCGTTTGATATTAGATTGATCAATATTATATCAATATTTCACAGGTTTATAGAAAATAAATAAAACATAATAAAATAAAACTTTGGTTCGTCACCTGTCGTACCATAGTTTGAAGTTGGAAGATCGTTGATCAACTTGTTCCTTACAATGTTTGTTTGTTTGTTTCTTACTAGTTTGTGTTCAGTAAGTCAATTACAATGTTGTTTGTTTTGTTTCTTACTAGTTTGTGTTCAGTAAGTCAATTAGTAAAAACTAGTCACATTGCCGAACATCACCGAATCACAAAGCACAACATTGACTGGGACTAGGCAAAATGCATTACTTACAGTACTGACTATAGACAACGGCTTACATTAGAAAGTTGGTATACCAACTTGGAACAAACCCCCCTGAACAGATCACAGCAATTACCGGCACCTTACAAACGACTTATTCACAATACAAACAAACGATCAACTAAAAACATTACACTTCACACTAATTCACAATGACAATACACATTTCCTGTACACACATACAATGACGTAAGAACCAGATAACAAATACGGCTAAACTGTCGATAGCCTTTTCATCTTTTAAAATCAAAAATCACTTTAACTTCAAAGATCCTATTCCCATTTAAAATCCCACGTAGTTTATGAATTTTCTTGTGCTGGATGTAATTCCAGATACATTGGGGAGACCACTCGCCATCTTTCCACGCGGATTAAAGAACGCACAACCACGGACAAAAACTCAAACATATTCAGACACTTACTCTCGTAACCACACTGCAAAAACAATTAAACACAATCTTGTTTCCGTATCTTAGACACCGCGCACTCGCCTATAAACCCTTTATATCAAGAATCGTAAACCCAACCTCAACAAACAAATACAACATCTTAACACTATCTTTGACCTGTAAATAGCTATTACTACCTTATCAGATATTTTTCGTTTTCTTTGTAATTTTTTTTGTGATAAAACCTAACACAAACATTTTATAACACCTCATTCAATTGTAAATAGTTATTCATAACTAGTCGATATTTTCGCTTTAACACAATAACATATTATCATGTAAACTTTCTGTATTTCTTCACTTCGCACTGAAGATCTGAAGATGGCATAAAGTATGCCGAAACATGTTTGCTTTCAAAAATTGTCGTTTATTTGAAATGTCTTATAACCATTGTGCTCTTACGAAATAATGGAAACTTTATATTATTTCTATTACAAATTATATCACTTTATTTTTTTTTTCATTCAACTTAGTCCCAGTTCAAGTAAAGGAACCTTCTTTAACAAAAGGCAACAAAGAGCATGTCTATATCACATCCTTCACAACACCACAGAATTTTTTCTGTCAGTTGGCAAAGAGTTCAACACAGTTGGATGACCTAATGGAAAATATTGAGGAATACTACCGCCCTCTGAGCGATGGTGATGAAGAGCTGCTTAACCCAAAGATTGGCAACTTTGTTGTGCTATGTTCACTGTGGTTGATGGATTTTACCGGGCTGTTGTTACGAATGTCTCCGAGCAATCTATCGAAGTTCGTTATATTGATTACGGTAATATTGAGAAACTGCCCAAATCAAGGGTAAAGCGCATGCTCCCTCGTTTTGCCGAGTTAAATGCGCAAGGCTTTACAGCAAGCTTGGTCAGCGGTTCCACTGCAAATATAACGAAAGCAAAAGATGCTGATGATTATCTAGAGGTGATGGTTGAACTTTTAAATCGGAACAACAATATTTACGGAGTTGAGGTTCATGACATGAATGGTGAAAGATTGTTTAAATGCAAAGAAAATGTCGAAAATGAACCAGGCGATAAAACTATCAAAAGTAAGAACTTCATCATTGTCTTGATTTAGAAGCCAAGCTTTAAGGTTTTCACTGAACACTCTTCCCTCTATTTATGTAGGTTTTTCAAGTGCTTACCATTTGAAACCAAGTACGCAGTGGGATGTTTGTGGATCGCATTGTGAAAGTCCCATGTTGTTCTATCTTCAACTGGTGAAAAATAAAGATATTTTAGAGAAAATTATGGCTGAACTGGATGACGTTTACTCTCATCTTACGGCCGAAGATAACATGATCACGAATCCTGTGGTTGGAATGACGTGTGTGGCAAAATATCCTGGTGAGTTTTTGTGTTTTATTGCTACGTACACTTACTGTATTTATAGTGAATGATTGAAACCTGGAGTTTTCGATCAAATATCATTAAATTTTTTTATTTATTTGTAGTTGACAATGGTTGGTATCGATCTCAAATTCTTGACATCCCTTCGCCAAACCAAATCAACGTTTTTTACATCGATTTTGGAAATTGCAAAATTGTTGATTTGTCGAGCGTAAAAACTCTCGCCCCAGCCTTCTGCAGCAAACCCGTTCAAGCTGTGAGATGCCGTTTGTATGGTGCCGAGAAAACAACGTGGAGTGAGTCCGAGTGCGAAATGTTCGAGGGCCTGGTACTAGAGAAACATTTGATAGCAGAAGTTAAGTCACTAGGTGAGCATGGCAATAATGACGACAGTTTTATATATATTTATCATTGTTACAATCGAGTGTTTTTTTTGGTTTTTCAGATGGCGACGAAACGACATTAATTGTCGATTTATTTGACACAAGTGGGACAGAAAATGTGAGAATCTTTGATGAACTTGTGAAAAAATCTTCAACAACAAAAGCTAGCGGTCAACGAAACCTAAAACTTTCATCACTACCGAAACTGGGCTTGAAGGATGTCGAAGATGTTTTTGTTGAGAGTGCAGAGTCTCTTGATAACTTTGTGTGTCAGCTCTCACGGTTTAACAACAATATAGAAACATTAGCTGGCATGATGTACGATATATACCACCAGGAAACCGCTCCTGACTTAGTATCCACTTTTGCAAGTAGATGATGTCATTGCGGCTCTATATTCCGAGGATGAAACCTGGTACCGAGCTTCTGTCTCGAAACATATAAACGATGGTGATATTGAAGTTATGTTCATCGACTACGGTAATTCTGAAATCATCCCCGAATCTGAAATAGGAAAAAGAGTTCGTTATTTGAATGACGAATTGTCACGTTTTCCACCAATGAGAGGTTTGGTATGTTGTATGGCTTCTATTGATGATAACGGACACCATTACTCGTGGACTCCACGCGCGCATTACTCTTTCGTGAGATACGTGGTGGAGAAGGAGTTCAAAGCAAGAATAATGATGGGCGATGAGGAACCACTTTCAGTAATACTTGAACACAAATCTGAAAGTATATACACGTGGCTTGCACGTAAGAATCTCATGTCGAGAAAGCAAAGTGAGGTCGATGTTGAGCAAGATGATTTTTATGAGCTCGAGTTGGAAACTGGGACGCTTTGTGACGTGTATGTCACGTGGATTAAAACACCACAATTATTTTTTGTTCAGCAATCATCAAGTTCAGATGACATCAATAAAGGTTGGTAATTTTTAGTGCAACTTTGCACTATTGTAAATTGCAGAGCAATTAGTTGGAAAATGTTTCATGTCAGACATGAAATTTTCACCAGATTTTAGGGATCAGGGAAAATTTGTGCTTGTCCCCAGTAGCGTAGTCAGCCCCCAGGTTTGGTCGTGTTATGTAAATTTTTTGATGTTCACTCACTGCAAAACCGATAGGTTTCTAAAGAAATGAATAATGATAATGATTTGAAATTTACATGTTTGTAAATGTAGATCGTCCAGGTTGGTATAGTCCTGAGAAGGACTGTTTTTGTTGTTTTTGTTGTTGTTGACTGACGTTTCGACAACCTTAGCGGTAGTCATCTTCAGAGGTAAAAAAAAATAAATGGACGATCTACATTTACAAACATGCAACGATACTCCCGGGTTCAAACCATTTACTTGATTTGAAATTTACATAGCAGTAAGAAATTTGCAGTCTGGCTACGTGACTTGCTTCCTCTCACCGAAATCCAAAACAACAGAGATATTGTTTGCGGAAGTTGTATTTTCGATTAACAAGATTAACGCATCTTTTTTACAACTCTTAACACTTCTGTTTAGTGTTTAATTTGAACACAAATTTTGGTTTATATTGGTATATGAATGCATGCAAAAATATTATCTTGATCTTTTAATACCATCATTTGAACTCTTTTTACTTTGAACAAACGTCGAAACTGCTTCATAAAAATATATGTTGATGGATGTCAGCTTACACTCGACTTATCAAATTTGTTAAAAGTCAATTAACTTTTCAGTTTATACAGAATTATGTTAAATGGGAGTTATGGAGAAATGAAACAAATTTATGAAACATTTTTTGATTTATTAAAATCACTAGTCATAAAGCTGGTTTTTGAAAATTTTCAGTGTAGTTAATTCATCATAATTGTCGCTTATCTTTGTAACTAATCATGATTACGGTATTGAAATAGTTGTGGATGACCTTCATAAATCCTGCACTAATGGCGACCAAAAAGAGTTGGAAGAAATCCATCCAGGTACCTTATGCGCAGCTCAGTATACGGTTAACGATAAATGGTATCGTGCGAGAGTTGTAAAGGAGTCTGGACCCGAATCCTTTGAAGTTGTTTATGTTGACTACGGGAATAAGGAAGCAATACCCAAACAAAGGTAGACTTTAGAGTTCGACTTCTTTGTCGTAACTTTAATCTGTTTTATGTACTTTATTTTATAATGTGCCTGTGTTTTTTAGGATTAAGGCGCTAGATCCCAGTTTTCTTGAACTACCTGCGCAAGCTTTGTGCTGCAGTCTGGAGACGAAACACCCTCTGACTTGGAATGATGAATTGAAGGAAAATTTGTGAGTGAAACTACTGACAAACGTTTAACGATGACCGTTGTAAAAGTGGTTGGCAGTCAACATGTTGTGACTTTAAAGAATGACGAGGGATTGTTGTTGAACAATATGTTCATTGATGGATATGGTGAAAATGATTCAAAACTGAAATCCTCTCAGGTATTGTATTATTAATGAAATGGTTTCTAACTTGTTGAAATGATTAAGTGTTGTTTTCACATATTTTCCCATGTTTTCACATGTTGAAGTGATGATGTGTTGTTTTCACATGTTTTCCCATGTTTTCACATGTTGAATTGATGATGTGTTGTTTTCACATGTTTTCACATGTTGAAATGATTATGTGTTGTTTTCACATGTTTTCCCATGTTTTCACATGTTGAAGTGATGATGTGTTGTTTTCACATGTTGAAATGATTATGTGTTGTTTTCACATGTTTTCACATGTTTTCTTATGTTGAAATGATTAAGTGTTGTTTTCACACGTTTTCACAAGTTTTGTTTTACTATGAACGTTAACAATTTTTGTCACGTAATATTTTATTAGGAAACCCAAATTACTTTATCCTCATTTCCTGTGGTTGAGAAACGACTGTCCAAGCCTTCACCAGTCACGTGGTCAGTCCACGCGAGTTCTTTGTTCAGCTTGCGACAGCGGAGACTGAGCTCGAACGCCTTGCGAGATTTGCCGAAATCTATAATTATTGGCCTGATGGTGATAACTACAAACTGGACAATGTGAAAGAGGTAAAAATTTTCACCATTTTTTAGTCGACCCGTCTTCGTTTATTTAGCGTTTGCTTTAAGTTTGTGATACATGCAATTCATGGTCTCTATAAGATTATCGTGACTTTTTCAATCAAATCATAGAGATTTAGCTAATTTAAAACCACTATATACTGAAGGCTCAACATTGGATTGTTGTTGATCAACTAATTATATGCTTTAGAATATGTTTTGCTGTGCGCGGTTTTCTGAAGATGGAGTCTGGTACCGAGCTCAAATCCTTACTGTCGATGTCGACGATAAAAAGGTAACGGTTCGATTCGTTGACCACGGAAACTCGGATGTGGTTGATACTTCTGATCTACGACGTCTAACCGCTGAACTGTCATCGTCGCCTTGTCAAGCTGTACCTTGCCGACTTTCGGGCGGACCTTTGTCCCAGGAACAGAACTTGATTTTCGTCACGGCCGTTGTGGGTAAACCACTAATGGCTACTTTTATTGAATTCTGCGACAACTTTTGGCTTGTAACCTTAGTAGATGACGGGCAACCAATTAACGAATTGTTGAACCCTCGTAAAGAATCTCATGAGACCCCAAGCAATGGAAAACAATGTATTCCGAAACCGATTTTAAAACCTGCAGACGAGTTACCTGTATACATTGTCAGCGCAACCGCAGCTAAAGATGCGATACTTCAAATAAGTAGTAGTTTAAGTGATTTGGAGACTTTGATGGACGATATAGCAAACGATCCTCCTCAGATCCGATTGACAAAGAACGAAATCGAAGTTGGAGACTATTGCCTTGCTCGCTTTACTGAAGACGAGGCCTGGTACCGAGCAAAGGTGAAGTGAATGTATGATCTGTAAACGTTAGTCATGTAAACTCGATCATAAAATACGTCGGTTTTATCAGTAGACATTAGGAAACAGTCAAAAGCTTTGATTTATCGTTTGTTAACTCATGATATCGTCTTTCTGTGTTTAGATATTAGAAGTTGATGGGGAGAATGTCAGTGTTTTTTATGTTGACCATGGTAATAAAGAATGGCTTTTGTTTGATGAACTTGCTCCGATAAATGAAAGATTTTGTAATTTGCCCGAGTTTTGTTTTTGTTGCTCTTTGGATCTATCGACAGTTGACGGGTATGGTGTGAAAATACTGCTGGTAAACTTCTTGAAATGTTTTCGGAAAATGAGTTACTTTGTAAAATTTCCACAAATAATGACAATGGTGTGTTGGTAAAGCTGTATTGTGATATTGAGGATATTTTGAGTCGTGTTGTGGAATATGAAAATGTGTCAGTATCGAAACTCATTGAAAATAACAAAGAAATCCACGAAATTCAATGTTTTGTTGTATATGAATTCAATATCGACGATAAAAAGAATGTTACTTGTTCTCATATTGAATCACCGAAGAAACTTTGGTGTCAATTATCAACCAATGAAACGGAATTAAATGATCTTATGAACCACTTAGATGAAGTATATGGTAGCCTTGGTCCCGAAGAACTACTTGCTCACAATTACGACGTCGGACGTCCTTGTTGTGGTCAATTTCTTGAAGATGATGGGTGGTATCGTGCTGAAATTGTTGAAGTTGTACCAGAAGGTTTGTCAATGAAAGGGTTTTTGTGTAGGAATTTTTTTAAGTAGTTTCTAACGTGTTAACATTCAAATCTTTATAACAAAGCAAAAAATATTTTATGTTAAGGTGTACGTGTTCGCTACGTGGATTATGGTAACGAAGAGGTGTTATCAACATCAAGAATTCTTGTTCTTAAAGACGAGTTCCTTGTTTTACCTTGTCAAGCTTTTTTTTGTGTGTTGGAAGATATTGAAGCAAAGGATGATGAATGGAGTGGCGATGCTGTAACGTTGCTTGAAGAATTCACATCGGAAAGGTTTGTGCAATAATCATCTTGGGCCGGTTACACGAAGCCTGGATAGCGTTATTTATTGTATAGCAATATTTTTTAAACTTTTCTGTAACCTTTTAAGAAGCAAAAAATATAAGATTTGAACTGAGTCATCTCTGAAATAAAACATTGTTTCGAAGATCACAAAATTTCCTTGTCGTATGAAAAATATAAACGCTTTTTTTATAAGTTTGAAAAATTTTGCTATCCAATGGATAACGCTATCCATGCTTCGTGTAACCGCCCCCTGTAATTTAGCTTAAACAGAGAGGAAGATTGACCATTAATGTTGTGTAAGTAACAAATATTTTATGATTTCTTAGATTGCTGTCTTTAGTGGTTAAAGGAAGAGAGAAACTTGGTGGTTTTACTTGTGCAATATACGGAACTCTTGACGAAGAAGAACAATCATTGAGTGAACTTCTTATTGAAAAAGCATTTGCTGTAAAATCTTTGCCACCTGCACCTATATCAGTTTCAAACAATCCTCGTGCAGACGTATCTTTCGTAAACATACATGTGAATATTGGAGATGAGCTTAATCTGTTCTTCGTGTCAGCTGAGTCGCCTGCAAACATTTGGTGTCAGCTGTCCGATTCTGAAGATGACTTACTTGATCTAATGGAAAACTTGGAGCATTTTACAGTTCATTAAACGGAAACGAGTTTTCACTCCAACAACCTGTTGCTGGTGCCGCTGTTTGTGCCCAGTTCTCTGAAGATGACTCTTGGTATCGTGCTGAGATCCTGGCAACTACTCCTAACATCACAGTCCGTTTTGTAGATTATGGCAATAGCGAATCATTACCCTTGACAAAATAAAGCTTTTAAAACGGATTTCGCTCGAATGCCAAAGCAAGCTATCTGCATTTCTCTGTTCGGTTTACTTTCCAATTCCCTTGATGAATGGTCCGATGCAAAGCTCGCCTTGATGGAAGAAATGTGTTCTGAGAAAAGTTACATCGGTAAAGTTCTTGGAATGCGCGATAATTTATTGGAAATGTCTTTAATAGACACCGAATCCAATGTTTCATTGCTCGACGAGTTGTGTTGTGCGAATCTTATTTTGAGGAAGACTCAAGTGGATACTGTACAAGGTGATTTGTTAACAAGCACAGATGAAAATAAAAACGTTGAGGAGCTTACTGCGATTGAAACTGAAGTTCTCGACAAAGCACAAGTTGATGATGTTGATTCAGGAGACAAGTCTACTAAACCAGTTACAGATGAGCGTCCTCCGATTGAAACAGAAGAACTTGACAAAGGAGAAATTGATATTGCTGAATCAGACGGCAAGTCGACAACTGAACCAGTTACAGATGAGCGTCCTCCGATTGTAACAGAAGAACCTGATAAAGGAGAAGTTGATTATGTGGAATCAGGAGACAAGCTAACTGAACCAGTCACGGATGAGCGTCCTCCAATTGAAACAGAAGAACTTGGCAAAGCAGAAGTCGATGATGTTGAATCTAATGATGAGTTGACTGAACCAATAACAGATGAGCGTTCTCCAATTGAAACAGAAGAACTTGACAAAGCAGAAGTTGATGATGTTGAATCAGGAGACAAGTTAACTGAACCAGTTACAGATGAGCGTCCTCCAATTGAAACAGAAGAACTTGGCAAAGCAGAAGTTGATGATGTTGAATCAGGAGACAAGTTAACTGAACCAGTTACGGATGAGCGTCCACCAATTGAAACAGAAGAGCTTGATGCAGGAGAAGTTGATGATGTTGAATCGAATGACGAGTTGACTGAACCAATAACAGATGAGCGTCCTCCAATTGAAACAGAAGAACTTGACAAAGCAGAAGTTGATGATGTTGAATCAGGAGACAAGTTAACTGAACCAGCTACGGATGAGCGTCCTCCAATTAAAACAGAAGAACTTGATGCAGGAGAAGTTGATGATGTTGAATCAGGAGACAAGTTAACTGAACCAGCTACGGATGAGCGTCTTCCAATTGAAACAGAACAACTTGATGCAGGAGAAGTTGATGATGTTGATTCAGGAGACAAGTCTACTGAACCAGTTACAGATGAGCGTCCTCCGATTGTAACAGAAGAACTTGGCAAAGCAGAAGTTGATGATGTTGAATCAGGAGACAAGTTAACTGTACCAGCTACGGATGAGCGTCTTCCAATTGAAACAGAAGAACTTGACAAAGCAGAAGTTGATGATGTTGAATCTAATGATGAGTTGACTGAACCAATAACAGACGAGCGTCCTCCAATTGAAACAGAAGAACTTGACAAAGCAGAAGTTGATGATGTTGATTCAGGAGACAAGTTAACTGAACCAGTTACAGATGAGCGTCCTCCGATTGTAACAGAAGAACTTGGCAAAGCAGACGTTGATGATGTTGAATCTAATGATGAGTTGACTGAACCAATAACAGACGAGCGTCCTCCAATTGAAACAGAAGAACTTGTCAAAGCAGAAGTTGATGATGTTGATTCAGGAGACAAGTCTACTGAACCAGTTACAGATGAGCGTCCTCCGATTGTAACAGAAGAACTTGACAAAGCAGAAGTTGATGATGTTGAATCTAATGATGAGTTGAATGAACCAATAACAGACGAGCGTCCTCCAATTGAAACAGAAGAACTTGACAAAGCAGAAGTTGATGATGTTGAATCTAATGATGAGTTGACTGAACCAATAACAGATGAGCGTCCTCCAATTGAAACAGAAGAACTTGACAAAGCAGAAGTTGATGATGTTGAATCAGGAGACAAGTTAACTGAACCAGCTACGGATGAGCGTTCTCCAATTGAAACAGAAGAACTTGATGCAGGAGAAGTTGATGATGTTGAATCAGGAGACAAGTTAACTGAACCAGCTACGGATGAGCGTTCTCCAATTGAAACAGAAGAACTTGATGCAGGAGAAGTTGATGATGTTGAATCAGGAGACAAGTTAACTGAACCAGCTACGGATGAGCGTCCTCCAATTGAAACAGAAGAACTTGATGCAGGAGAAGTTGATGATGTTGAATCAGGAGACAAGTTAACTGAACCAGCTACGGATGAGCGTCCTCCAATTAAAACAGAAGAACTTGATGCAGGAGAAGTTGATGATGTTGAATCAGGAGACAAGTTAACTGAACCAGCTACGGATGAGCGTCCTCCAATTGAAACAGAAGAACTTGATGCAGGAGAAGTTGATGATGTTGAATCGAATGACGACTTGACTGAACCAATTACGGATGAGCTTCCTCCAATTGAAACAGAAGAACTTGATGCAGGAGAAGTTGATGATGTTGGACCAAGAGATAAGTTAACTGAACCAACATCAGATGAACGTGCAAAAAAACTGAAATACACGATGAACTTTCCATAAAAACGGCACCAACTTTGGATGATTGAAGATTGTGCAGAAGTTTGTAGTGATGAAATTCCTGTAGATCACCGCGAATTCTCTTTGTTGTCACCAGAAAAAAGAGATGCCCACGCTGACGTCAATTCTGACGTCACTAAAGTAAACACTTGCTTTGAGAAAGAAAATGTTACTGGAAGATATGCTGATGAAAAGAATGAAAACGTTTAAAACCTTAACGAAGATGAAACTTCAGATTTAGATATTCAATCAAAATTGAAAATTAACAATCCCGCCAATTAACGGATCAACTAAATCAAACATCTATTGAAGTACATTAAGTTTTTTATTAAATGTTTTGTTGGCAACTTTTGTTGGCAATTTTGTTTTCCTTAAATAAAGTATCGCTTTGATAAAACAAAATGGCGGCTTTATATCACTAGTTCAAATGAAGGCCTTTTAAATCATTTAAATTCCACAAACGTTGATGGAGGCTCAAATTAATCGGTTCAATGTGCTTGTGAATGAGTATTTTGTGAGTATTGATAAATATAGATTTTCATGTTTACCAAACTGTTCTCATGTGTTCATTTCTTTTTCAGAAAATCAATGAGTTTCAATTGGTGTTTTCCAGGTGAAGTCAATTGTGTTTCCATGTAATTCTTTGCTAAGTTAAGCATAAAACATCTCCAAACTTACATTTAGGGAAAGAAATAATCATTATTGAGAGATAGCTTGTCCGTATGGGCATTTGTCTGATCAAGAAGTAACATTTATTTCATTTAACTCTTCAGCTTTATAGCACGAGACCAAACGCATGACAACGAAAAAGATGAGAAGTTCCTTTCGGCATTTACAGAATTGTGGAAAACTATCAATTCCTTACTGGAGACAGAGAAAAAGGATGTGGTACTCGACTTAATGAACTTTCCATTAATTTATTTGTTGTTAATGGCCGAATCCGCTGAATGTTTAATCTCAATAGGCCGCGTTCGCTAAACATTTGTTTCAGTTTACTGTTCAACATAAGTAATATTATTGGATAGAAAGATCCGAACACAACATTATTTTATGTAATGTTAGAAACTTACAGCTCTTTGTTGGCAGAAAATGACATTCCCAGCATCAGAAATGTTTTTAGTAAGTTTAAACAAAAGTGGCATTTCGTTGGTCTTTTCACATCCATAGAGTTTCCATGCTACACAATCCTCCACACCTTTTGCATCAGTATTACACGACTTCCCAAAGATCACTCAACCCACCACCAAAGAATCACCAGTGAAACATCAAGTAGTACACCACATTATTACCAAAGGTCCCCCATGCTCTGCACGTCCACGCCGTCTCCCACCTGATCGTTTACACATTGCCAAAAAAGAATTCCAACAAATGCTTGATCTTAGAATCATCCGCCCTTCCAGCAGTCAGTATGCCTCTCCTCTCCACATGGTTCCCAAGCCACAACCCGGTGACTGGCGACCCTGTGGTGACTACCGTGCGCTTAACCGAATGACTGTACCCGATCAGTATCCCGTTCCACATCTTCAGGATTTCTCTGCCAATCTCCACGGTATGACTCTTTTTTCTTTTTTCCGATTTTGCAAGTTCTTTTTTGAATATGGGGGCAATATAGAAGCCTGTGTGTGTGACATCAAATTTCGTCGACAACAAATGCACAAGTTTACTAGGTGTTCATTTTATTCTTGTTAAGATCAAAAACATGTATAATGTGTTAAACAATGGATCATTCGATGAATACAGGTATGTTATATGTTATAAAACAAAAGTCTATTTACAGTTATTGTAGACCTAATAGTTAGATTATATGTGTAGAGTAGTACAGTCTAACCCGTTTAAGTACACACCATTGGACAACAGACTAGTGTTTTGACTGGCTTAATGAAAGTGTTAGCTTGATTGAGGTTTCATCATTATACTTCCATCATTATTAGCTATATGAGATTAAGTTTTGGATTTTACACAGTATCTGCTTAGTACAGGGTCATTTGATACAAGAGGTTTGACTGTATATATTATATCATTTAAGAATTTGATTTTTTTGTCAGATATTTCAAACACCAAGTCAGATCATTAAAGTTCATACAGAAAGACCTGATTGATTATAGAAATTGCCCTCTTTGCCCACAATTCAGTATTTGATTTCTTTTTTTGTACTATTTGCTTTGTGAACTATTTTAAATTATATGTTTTTTGTCACATATATTATCAGAACATTTAAAGTTGTTGTGAAATATGAAGTGTTACATGTTTACCATAAAATTTGTTTCATTTTATTAAAGAGCTTTGTTTGCTTTAGACTGGAGAGTTAGGTGCGGCCATTCATTCCATGGATGCTTGCTTTGGTCTAACTCGCAAAAAGTTGGCAGGGAATAGTTTTGCTGTCCCAAACCATGGCTGCCTTAAGTTTGCTAATCAGGATGAAGTAGATGATTTTGTTGATCAATATAGCAAGTCTAATAACAAAGTAGGAGAGGTAATTATTGCATGATGAAGGACTTTGAAGCCTTTTCAAAAGTATTCTGTGAAGGGAGAGGGGGAAATAGTTTAAAACAAACTTTAAAAGCAATGGCAAAGCCAGCACTTTTTTACTTTTACATTGCAATATTTTTGTATTCAATCACTGGAAAAACAATGAATGGATTTGATTTTCTAAAGAAATTATTAACAATTTTGCTGACAAATTGGCATTGTAAGAGTAAAGATTGGGCAGGCTTCGCCCTGAGAAAAGTGGGTCTATGCTTCATGCAGGTCCATGGGCCCTGATACATACGTAAGTAGCTACGTGGATTTAAAATCAAAATTACAAACAGCCAATTTTTTTCTTTTCCTTTAATTTATCATGCTTATGCATGGTCTATGACTTGATTGTGTAAACTGTCATGTTTATTTTTACAGTAATAAAACAATTGTTATATATGCGCTAATCTATAATGTGCTCCACCTTATTTTAGAGTTGTCAGATATTTAAGGCAGGAGAAGTTACAGAAGCACTTCACTCCAAAGGAAAAATCAAGTTTTGATGAAAAGGAGTGTTTGGTAGTTGTTGCAGTCAGCATTCACACCTTGGACGATTTTTCAGCACTAAATATGGGGAAAGGTTAGTGTCTTACACTTGGTTTGCACGTAATTATCAATATTCTTGATCTTTGATGAGGTAGTATGGAGAACAAATCGTCGGGTTATAATTTCTTTTCCTGTGTCAATTTTGAAATAAAGGGACAAAGGACAAAACGATTCTGTGCTAACGAGTTCTATTATTACCCTTTAATAATATTTAGTGTCTTATTATTAATATTCAGAATTTCGTATTCGCTGTTCCTAATCCAAAGCATTTTAAAAGATGCTGACCAAAGTCCTGGTGTTGATTTAAAAATAATGTATGATATTGGATGTGTATTATCATCACATTTAAAGGTATTTTAATGTTGGCATGTAAAATACATGTGATGTGGGACAAGTTCATTCACCAACTAAACTTTGAATAAATTGGTACCGTTCTAGGCAAACAAGAGGCATGACATTTTGTCAAAAGTCTCAATTTCGGTGCCGATATTTCATTTTTATGGACACAAGGCTTCATGCCAGGTAATGAATAAAGCTTTGTACCTGGTAATGACAGGGATGGATTAAGAGGCGGGATAGCGGAGGAATGTGCTCTCCTCCAACCGTGGAGATGGATGAGGAGTGGCATTTTCCCTAAGAAATTTATGTATATCAAACCATCAAGCGATCGTAATTTTGGTTTATGGAGCACAATTTCAAAAATCTCCAATCATTGTATATAAGTAACAAAATTTAACGAAAAATGTCTTGCATGTTACGGCAACAAGCAGCCACTAGAATCTTATCCAAACTAGAGCACCCCCTCCCTCCAGAAAAGTACATCCCTGGGTAATGATGTAGCGATTGAAGAAAGACAATCTTTTCTGCTCTGGTTTCTTCCTTGATTAAAAGCCCCCGTATGTAAAATATTATTTTTTAACGTCTTCAAAAAAACAGGTCAAATTCAGTCCTAGAAGGCTCGATGGTTTTGGTCTTACAGATGGTGAGGCTATTGAAAGGCTCTGGGCTTACCTTCGTAGGTTCTCTGCAATTACTAAGGAGATGTCTGCCAGTAGAAGAGTAGTAGATCTTTTGACAGACGCGCTTCTTCACATATCTCGAAGAAATTTTAGCAATGCAGGTGCTTGATTATTGTCATTGCTTTATGTGTAACTATGCGTTGACACAATGAAAATGTTTTTATTTGTTTGTTGCGCCTTAATTGTTTTAATTTTTTGTATATGATTTGTTTCAGGAAAATCGTTAACGTCGAAGCTTAAAAAATGTCTACAACTTAAAATTAAAACGCAACAAGAAATGAAGGATTTATTTAGCGAACTACCTGGTAAGTAGTTCTGGTAGGTTAGAAATTTCTTATGTTTTCTGTGGCCTGACCAAACTCTCAATTCAATTTGCATCCAAGGAAATACGAACTTATTTTGTTTGTTAGTGACGTACGATCCTGAAATTGTTTGTCAGTGGGAGGCCAGAGAGAAGGAAATTATGTCAAGAGTCTACCCAGGTATATAATGTCATTCATGGCAAATAGTTTCATTCTTAACAATTCAGTCTGTAGGATTTAAAGACGTACTTTTTAAATACAGAACATAAAGAAACCACGGAGAACTGGAAAGTGACGTACGTTCAATAGCTACTGTATTTTAAACAACTAAGGTAGGTTTTTTAATGTACTAAACTGGCTATTTCTCTATAATACATGCCTATAGACGTTTTAATATTTCTTTTGAGCCTAATTGGTGAATTATAAAATTCTTAGTGCTACATCATTCGGATGTTTTGAAGAAAACCAGGAGATAAAATCTGAAGATTACTCAATTCATCAGATGTCGAAAAAACTATACCAGTATGTATAAATGTGTCAAAGCAATATTTTGCTTTAAAGTTTTTTTTTACATACGCGCAAAATTTATGTAAACAGGTTTCGAAAGATTTTAAAAGATATTGAACGAAAGCATTCTATAAAAGAAAGATGGAAACCTGGTCATCCTAATTTTGACGTCGTTGCATTGCAAGTCATACAAGGAAAACGAAAAGATACTATCGGAGCTTTACATGGACTTTCCATAGAAAGGCATTTCTTAATAACATTGAGAAAGAAGTATGCAGGTACTGTAATGCACTGTATATTTCGAATACTTGTAACCTAAGCTATGTTACCATATCTGTCTTTTGTTGTTCTTGTAAATGTTAATTTTGTATTCCTTTTACTTGTTTAGATGGTCAGAAAATTGCCACTCGCTTGTCCAGGCAAATCACCAAGATCACGAACAAGATGAAATTAACAATTGACAAACACAATGCTGCCATTGATTCTCTTCGTGATTTTATAAACAGTTTACCCGATCGTCTGACATTTGAAAAAGCGAAAGATCCTACATCAGACCTTTATGAGGGATTTGAGTCTGGTGAGGATGACATTCTAGGGGAAACCTCGGTCCCAGTATACACAAAGAGGAAGGCTATTGAAATGTACTTAATCCTAAAACGATGTGACGAGGAAGAGAAACTTTTAAACTTGGAAATAGAAAGGCTTCTATTGTATTACACCAATCTTAGCTCAAAAATTGATGAAGCACTTGCTGATCTTGGTGATTTGAGCAGCGATGAATTCATGCTTGGTTCAAAGCATGAACTGATAAGATTTAAAACCAAATTGCGGAATGAGTTGTTCAGCTTGAAGAAAAGTTTTGAGCTTCCACTTGGAGAAACTTTTCTTCTCCATGCTGAGATTGTCAACTTAACCAATGATGTCAACATTCCCAATGAATCTGAAAGCTCACCGTATGAGGAATCCGATACTGAAGATGAAAACATCGAAGAGCTCTCAGAAGTGGACAGTGACATTGAATAGACGACATAGCTACTATTCGTAAACTAATAGCTACTTTTATGTACTTATTATGTAATTTAGTTGTTCACGTATCTAGTATAACTGATATCACGCAAACATTTGGTTTTGTGACGTCATGTTAGTGCACAGTCATTTCTCTTCTTCTGTACAACACCGGAAGTTTTGACCTGTCGTTGAATTGTGAGAGAACTATGTTCTTTATTATTTATCAATGTCTTACAAGTAAGAGTTTATATGCGACATATATCCCAACCAATTAGCTCTGTCTGCCCAACCCAATTCATCTAAAATTGTGAGCATTCACATTATATAAAATAGCCGAGACGTATCCAAAGCTTTGTCAGTTGATCAACGGGGTCTGGGGCGAGTTTCTGAAAACACCGAATTTCATGATTTGTCCGTCTAAATCATCCAATTTGTTTTTTAACGTTACAAGCCTTCCCATGTTTCATATTTTGCTCGAGATTAACTCCAAACAGGTGACTAACTTTACCGATGTTCAAGCTAACGAAACGATGCAGACGAGAGAGTGCGGTCTGGTTCGGCACCCTTGATGGCACTGCCGCTGTAAGAGGTAAATGAGAAATGAATCCGAACACGTGTTTGGATTGAAATAATATAAAACTCAAAATTATTAATCTGCGTTACTGAGCACCATTTCACAGAACACGTAAGCCATTTTACAGATCGAACACTCTTGTCATGTTGCACGCCTACCGTAATCATTGCACGTATTACGTATCACGCATTCTTGCCGTGAGCTTCAAATATTCTCTACGCAATACCAACCCTCCTTACAATCACATTCTAAAGTAGGTGGGTGTCTATCGAGGACGGGACTCAATTCTGATGTTAAGAAAAGAACGTGATCGGTTTTTTGGGGGTTGTTTTTATTATAAGATGCTACATACTCTGCTACTAATAAGGTCCATGCTATAAGGGTCGTTGTACTAACTAAAAAAATCAATATTTTATTTGAAACATAATTTGTTAAAAAAAATTTAAAGCCACAACTGTCAACTATTTGCTGTAACAAAACATTGCTACTGGCTACTGCATACTTTTGTGTATCAATCACATATGCTCGATGATATTGGATTATGCGGTGCTGTTTATTTCACAAAAAAGCACCGTAAAGTGAAAATGTCGACGCAGCGGAATTCGAATTTCGAAATGTTAAAAGTGGAATTCATTTATGATATATATGTTGCTTTATTTTGAGTGTTCGTTGGTACCGTAAATGAATTTATCAACGGCCAGGGCGTTTAATCAATTCTAGATGTTGTGGTGCAGCGAAATGAAAAGAGAGACGTGTATATTAGTTGTTTGTGTGAACAAATATAAAACAAAACTAAGACAAACTAAACTTCTTATAAGCCAAATTGTGAACCCACTATAATTAATATATCATAAATTTAATGTTGTGAAGGTGGTGGGTGTCTATCGAGGACGGGACTTTATTAGTAAGAGGGGTTGCAAGGAGGGGGCGGGGGCGTTTAATATGTATAAGGTGTTAATTTAATATAAGGCATTTATTAGATCTTTTTCGTCACATATGCCCATATATCATCTGAGAAATACAATTTGCCTTATGCAAACCAATGAGACCTTTGGGAAAACTTGAGAGCAGATCAGTGCAAGCAGGAGACCGAAGGTCTTGGGTTGCACGATTGCATCTGCTCGAGTTCCCACAAACGGTTTCAAGGTTTGCATAAGCCAGTGCAATGGTGCAAACACGAAAAACAGTTTTTACCTCTTGTATACAATGATACGAAACAATAATTCGAAACAGATAAATTTACATCGATATGCAAATTTTTTTTGGTTAATTGATTGATTTGATTGGTTGAGTTGAAGTCGGTTTGCACAGGTTAATGCACACACGGCTATAGACCAATCACCGAGCGGGTACTATTATCTTTATTTTATATATGGACAATGGACATTACTCACAAATGTTGCATACTCTTATAAACTGTACTGCCCGTCCATATTAAAGCCCATTTATGTCATTTGAGTTGAAGCAATGCCGAAAAAAGATGCATCAAGAAGAAAACATAAACCGTCTCACTTTCGAGAAGCTCGTGCAAATTGGTGAGAATATCTCCACTTGTGGTGTTTTTTGTCAACCGGTGATCCGTGAACGCAGTCGCTTGTGTCCTTAATCGTTATATATGACTTTATTATAGGTTGTCAACTCTGTTTCATCAAGATTCCTTATGTCGCGTAAAATGCTCAGATGTTCTAAAAGTGTTGAGAAATAAATATAAGAGTATATCTGTTCGAGAGTGTGGGTTCATTGTACGAAAGTGTTTTCCTACGGTGAAGCGAATTCATAGCAATCATGTCTACTTTTATTCTGGCATTAGCCACATCGACGCCATTGAAAATGTTAACCAATGTCATACGGAAAATGGTATGGTTTAAAATAGCTAGCGCAGTCCCTAATTAACATAAATTTCAGAGGCACACGATAAGAATAATTTGAGGAAGGGCTTAATTTTTGTGTTAATTGTATATAATATTGAGAACCTTTTTTGGTGGGGGGGAATGATTTTCCATCTTGAGAAGAACTACCTTGGACATGGAGCAAACTTTATTTTCTTGTCTCATTTCATAGATTGCTCAACTGAGAATAAAATGCTATGTGGATTACCTGATTGCATGAGTATCAATCGGTCGGAATTGCTACGTTCCTCATCAAAGAAGCCTACATATTCATTCCCAAATGGGAATTTTGATAGCATGGAGTTATGTTGGTTTAGAGGAATGGCAGTTGCAGTGAGGAAATCTGAGTTTGATGTCATTGATGAAGCAAGAACTATTCTTAGCTTACCATCTCATCCATGTTTTCCAATCTTAATTGGTATTTGTCGGGATGAAAAGCCATTCATTTTAATAACAAAATTTTATGGTCATGTAGGAACTGGAGTGTACATGTCCTTGGAAGGATTGTGCTATACTCATGGAATCACTTTTGCCGAGTGGATATCTTTATTAATTAAGATATGGGAAGGCATAGAGTTGTTGCATTCTTGTGGATTTGCTCATGGAGGTCTTGGAGTTCAAAACATTATTGTTGTGAAACAAAAAGAAAAGAAAAAAGTTTGGGTGCCAGTATTTCTGAATCTTAATGAAGTCAAAGCTTTATGTGGAAGTATTGACAACAACTTAAGTCAACAAGACTGCTTAGACTTTGGCATCTTGCTACATAAAGTAACTACTCTCCCTGCAATAAAAGAAACATATGCATTACGCCAGCAAGAGAAATTAACTCAATTGTCCAAAGCTATTTCTTCTGGTTGCAATGCATTGTCAATAGCAAGACGTTTAAAACATATTGCACAAACATAAATATTTTTTACTGATGCATAAGTATCTCAATTATTACAGTTATTTTTACAAATATGATATCTTATTTGCCCATCCATTGAATTGTGCATGTCTTTGTGTAGGTGAAAGGTAGAACCCCCCCTCAAAAAAAAAATTTTTTCTATATAATGTAGTTTTTACTTTTGGGCTTTAATCTTCGAAATTTTAATTATAGAATTAGACATTCTGCATGGCTTATATGTGAATAGTAGAATATTACCTTTTAAAAATACATGTTCAGTCCAACTAAAACTGGCTTATTTACAATCCAACTAAAACTGAAAACTGAGTTGATTTCAATGCACATATTGCAGTGCTACCTGTTACCATTGTAAACAATTTCATTGGTGTGAAATTGAAAACTATATGTATCCCTGTTTTGATAAAATTTGAGTAACTTTCCTTTCAAAGGACTTGTTCAATATGAAGGTTTGGGTATAATCAGTAAACCTATGAGTCTCAAAAATTACATTGCCATTGTCCTTAATAATATTTTTTCCAAAGATTGTTTCCTTTTTTTTAATAAGGTGGAAGGTATTGCCTGACTCATGATTTAGCCAACATCCTGTCAATTTACCTCTTGTGCTTATCTGGTGCAGAGCTTGTAGAGATCCCGTAAATGAAAAAAGCCAGAACTGACTTTCCTCATCATCACAGTACACAGGCAAAACGAAATGATTTGCCTGAGACACATATGCATTCAATTTTTTTTTTAACTCTGTCAAAGCTTCTGGACATAACACTTTCCAGTGTGTTGATATTATTTCTTTGATTTCAGAAATGCTATGTGTCTCATTAATATCCAATACCTCCACATCTTCTTTTGATACTTTAAAGTCACATTTTCCGAATACATTACTAAGCAATTCCTTGCAGTCTTCACCAAAATCTTGCAAAGGTGCACCTTCTGACGTTTCAAGAATGAAGGAAATACTGTCCTGGCAGTCCATGATTTTTTGTATTTCCTTTGAGCCATATTGTCGTGGCTTCTTTAGGCGAATGTTATCTGGTAGTCCTTCAACATGAAAACCACCAGAAAGATATGGAACGCGAGAACCAGTCACACCTTTTGCTTCACCTTTAAGAAAAATGCTCACTGACAAGAACTAACAAACATAATGACTTAACAACATGACTGTAAAAAGGGTAATTTTTACAAAATTACTCACAGGAAAAAATTTGTATCTTCCATATACTTTTATTAAAAAACAGAGAAGATTTCTTTATGCAGGTGTATCAAAAGGTAAAATTAAACTATCACTGTAAGGTAAACACTACCATTCAGGAATATACAGGCAACCTTTGTACATAACTGTTATTAACAACATTATACTGTTTTAAAAGTATTTAATGAAAAGTTTATTCAAAAAAGATTTTTTTTAAACTTGCAGCCATAGAGTGAAATACTTTATCCAGGCCTGTGGTGGTTAAAATTACACCTGTATGATCACGTCACTCTCAATGGTGAAGACCTGCGTACAAGAATAAATAAAAAATTAACTTACTATACTTCTTGTTAAAGAGCATTCTTACATCCTCATGAGTCCATTTCTGTTTTTCTCGGTCTACATCTACCAAATATAGCATACAAATTTTTTTTTAGCTATACAAACTACAATTTTATCCCAAAAAGCTTGCTTCGTGATTTTTCACTCTTTTTAGAGAATTTAATGAAGAGTGAGAAATCACGAAGCAGGCTTGTCAATATAAAATTATAGTTTGTGAATTTTCGTTATAAAAGTGTGCTCAATATCTTTATAGATTGAGCAAAATATAAATTCATAAAAGTAAAATAAAGCATCAACTAAACTGTCATTCACCTGGTGATTGCCAAAAGGCGTGAAACACAGTGTAGCAAATGGTTTCATGATATTATATACGTACACCACTTTATCGGCTACCAAAAATACTTTAATATTTACCGTTAGAAATATGCTATTTTGAGATGGGATGAACATTTTGCAACCATACGTAACATGACATTATAGTAAAGCTCTGAAACTTAGTCATATGTATGTACTTGACTACCATCCAGTAACTGGTATCCATGAAACTGGTGCTGACATATCAACAGAAGTTAAACTTTATGCCTATTACGAATTTGTGATCTTTGCAAAATTTTTACTCTTTACCAAACATTGCTTGAAACTTGCACAAAACTGCTGGTTCATTGTGAACAAATCTTTTCCTCCTGATGAACCAAGGACATAAAGTTCTTTTTCCATTCACCAGTAAGCAGCTGGCCTGGCAACCAAGATACTCAAGTAACTGAACTAAAAGGAAAGTAAATAACTGATAATGGTTACATTAGGCATAAGTACTGCAAAAGCTATGTATAGTTTGCAACAATATGGACTTTAACAAATGGCATGAGATGACATTTGTTTTATATATTATTGCTACTATTTTTATTTACTATACATAGTTTCTGTTGTTGTTGGTATTGCTATGATAATTATTATTTCTACAAATGTAATGCTATACCATCAATGCTATTGTAATGATCATCATTACTGATGGAGAATTAAACAGAATCTTTTGTTGTCCAAACACTATTCTACATATCCCAAATTATATGACATATATGTCTGCATTACATCTGTGATTAAGACAGTGAAGTACAAATATTGTCATAAAATATCAGCAACAACAGCAACAACAATCATCTCTTCAGTGATTAATCTTCTTGGAACCAAAAGAATTTTACAATCACTTTTCACAGCATTTAGTAACTGTATAAATTTTCAATTTCAAACAAACTTTAAACTTCATACTACCATTAAATATAGTTTATTATTATTAAATCATTTCTTCATTAATTCTTTCATAGCCTTATGAAACAGTTCAACTGATACATTCCACACAACCAGAATACAAAAAAGATTTTCATGCCAGATGACGTTCAAGTCAAATTTCATGCCAAAAGAAAAACAAGTTTGCAATAAGAAATAACTTTCTATCTGGTAATCACTGCAACCATGTTTGCACAAAAAATACATGCTCAAAACAAAGAGTTTTACTCAACATAACACTATTAGAAATGCATCCAATGTTAAGGCAATATAAACTTCCTTTATCAGAATACCATGAATTATGTACATTTCCAGAGACTAAAGTCTCCCCAATCAATAGCCTGTTCTAATTTATTCTAATTACTTAATGCTACCTCTGCTATTCATTGCAAAACTTATTTATTAAAACAACTGTTACCTCCTCAGCTAAAATTTTCATATGCTGATCAACCAATTTTGTTCTTTGAGCATCATCTAATGTCACAGGGTTGTTTTTCATGTCATTAGCTTTCTGTGTGTATTTATTTTGCTCGGATTCTCCTAAACCAATCCATTTGACAGAAGCCAATTTATTTTTTTCACTCAGGTGAGACAACCCCTTTACTTCATCTGCAATAATGGATAAATTTGTCAAGGCTTTCATCATAGTGAATTCTTGATGGGTAACATTCCTTAAACCCTGATTGATTATACTAAAGTGATTTAATATTTCATTCACCTGATTTAAAAAATTCTGAGCAAAATAGATTATATCCGCTTGACCCCCGTAATCTGGGTGGTGGTTTGGGGACTTTTGGTGGATTACATGAGGGTAGAGGTGACTCCGAATTATTAGATTGACATTTTCTTTTGACAGAAGCAACTTCGTTGCCAATCCATTTCTGAAAAAAGCATAATGTCAGTTGTGAAGAAGCTTTTGAATAATTTCAAAACATGCAGTATCAAACAAATTTTGTGAAATTTTTACTGACATTATAACATCAAGTGTTACAATAAAGCTGCACCAGTTACTGTGTTTCACAGCCTATAACTCTGTACATAAAGAATGTCCATTGTATATCACAATACATTATAAGAATGTACTTTTTGAAAAAGGAAAGTTTAAAGTAGAACTTCATACAAATTACTGTGGAGTAGAAATACAAATTTAGGGATGTTATTGAGATACGTATGGCTTTGATTTGATGGCGCTGGTTTCGTAGTTGGTTTACTGCATACAGAAAAAAATTTAAAAGACGGTGAACGACTAAAGAAGAGATCGTTCTCACCTTGACCTTGTCCACAGACAACGACGTTCCAGACTGGAAAGTATGCAAACTGCGCAAGCTAGATCAATTTTTTTTAGAAATTTTGCGCGGCGGATTTTCAATTTTGTGCGGCGGATTTTCGACTTTGCGCTGCGAAGCCATAAAATATTCGCGAGATGCCAGTTTTATTTTTTCCGTATCACACTCCATTTTTGATAGTTTGCAATTGCAAATAATTATGAAACATAACATAAAAGATGATACATGTGTATAGCTGTAGCTTACCTTAAGTTGGAGCTTGCAACTCTCCTTTTACAACGTGAGGATGTGTCATGTGTAATCACAAAAAAATGCCACTTTACCTTAGGTATTATGTAACGAGTCGAACGACCAACGTACCACGTATGTTTATCATTCATCTGTTTCATCGTTTCATCACAGCGTATGATACGATAAAAGGTAGGCACCAAATAAATTTGATTTACTGACGTCGTCAAATACGTCGTCAAAAAAAAACAAATCAATCAGGAACCATCTTTTGTATAATCAGCAGCCAGATTGTGGAGTAGGTTTTTCAGTTAATAATTGTTTATAATCAGCAGGCAGATGGTGGACAAAAAAGGTTTTCAGTTAATAATTGTTTATAATCAGCAGCCAGATTGTGGAGTAGAAGGTTTTTCAGTTAATAATTGTTTATTATCAGCAGCCAGATTGTGGAGTAGAAGGTTTTTCAGTTAATAACTGTTTATAATCAGCAGGCAGATGGTGGACAAAAAGGTTTTCAGTTACTAATTGCTTATAATCAGCAGCCAGATGGTAGAGTAGAAGGTTTTTCAGTTAATAATTGTTTATAATCAGCAGGCAGATGGTGGACAAAAAAGGTTTTCAGTTAATAATTGTTTATAATCAGCAGCCAGATTGTGGAGTACAAGGTTTTTCAGTTAATAATTGTTTATAATCAGCAGGCAGATGGTGGACAAAAAAGGTTTTTCAGTTACTAATTGTTTATAATCAGCAGGCAGATGGTAAGCAGGGGAGGTTTTCAGTTGATAAATATTTATAATCTGCAGCCAGATGGTGGACAAAAAAGGTTTTTCAATTAATTGTTTATAATCAGCAGGCAGATGGTGGACAAAAAGGTTTTCAGTTAATAATTGTTTATCATCAGCAGCCAGGTGTTAGACGAAAAGGTTTTCAGTTAATTATTGTTTATAATCAGTAGTCAGGTGGTGGACAAAAAGGTTTTCAGTTAATCTTTGTTTATAATCTGTAGCCAGGTGGTGGACAAAAAAGGTTTTTCAGTTAATCTTTGTTTATAATCAGCAGCCAGGTGGTGGACAAAAAAGATTTTTCAGTTAATCTTTGTTTATAATCAGCAGGCAGATGGTGGACAGAAAAGGTTTTCAGTTAATATTTGTTTATAATCAGCAGGAAGATGGTAAGCAAGGGAGCTTTTTCAATTGATAAACAATTACGATCTGCTGCCAGATTTGGATTGAAAACTTTTTGATTATAACTGCACGAAGCATACTGGTTGACGCTTGACTAAGGTTACAAGAGGAAAGGTAGCTTAGGGCGTGATGTTATGATGCCTTGCAAAACCTTGGACATCTCTCCTTCGTGTTTTGGCCATGCTCGTCGGTCTCTAAAAACAGGAATCATATGTCTGGACAAACCACGTTCCTTGTCCCCATTGATGTAAAGTTTTGCCATTTCGTTCAGTGCTGCGTCGCATTGAAGTACAGATGGTAAACTCCAATCAACTTTAGCACGATTCATTAGCACTTTTATGCTTTGCCCACCATCCATTTCTTGCTTATCCACCACCCGGTAAAAAGATTCGGCAACAGCCTCAGTTCCGCATTTCGCATAAAATATGTCAAAGACGAGACAAAACTCTTGGCCGACAGCTGAATAAAATGAGGAATCGTTATATAAATATTCAATAGCGGCCTCTTCTTTAAAAAGAACGTCAATCATTTTACCATTGTTGAGCGTCACTTCGAAGACCTCAGAAAGGGTGAACTGCCTTGGTGTACCTTCTTGGAACCTAGTCACAAAGACTCCTTCCTCGAAAACCACATCCTGCAAGGAAAAAATTCCTTCGTCATCGAGAGAGATCTTCTTGAAAAAATTAGGGAAGTGAGTGTGTAGCATATCACCCCAAACAACGGCAATGAGTGTTTTCTTTAGACGCCAAAACACTGTGGATGATAGCTCGCTACAAAGCTCAAAATTCTTTTCAGAAACATGTGGCATCTGTGAGGAAAAGTTTACACATCGTCTAAACTCATTAGCTCCAAGTCGTGCTTCATAATGAACTGCAGCTGACTTTGTTTTCACAACACCAAGAGCTGCACGGAGTTGATTCTTTGCAACAAGTACTTCCCATGACCTCCCTTGCTTTACCATCTTCATGTGGTCATCAGCGTTTTTGTGGGTCAAAGAAAGAAGATGTCGATGACACGCTTGCTTTTGGCTGTACCATTTTTCACACTTGCCTGCAATTAGCTGTTCATACAAGGCATCTGACATATGTAAACCAGATGCCAAAGATCCGTCTGCTTTGCCAGTAGGTCGATAAAAAGATGACGAAAAGGAAACACGGGAAGAGTTTAAAAATTCGACACACGTTCGACACTGCAGCACCCAGCTGTTCTCTTCTTTTAGTATTTCAAAATCTTCCACTTCATCCACAAGCTCAATCAAATTGGAAGATCGAAGTGCGTTACTCGATGTGGGATTGTATGTAGTTATTGAACTTGTTGATTGGGCTGATTTAGGGTTACCACTCAACTTTTGTGCCACCTTAGTAGCAATTTTTTCCGCAAGTTCGTCCACATCAAATGGCAGGTCGCCTTGCTCACTTGATAAAATTGAAGGAAGAAAACTTCCAAGCGAGCTTTGATAGCTAAGACGGCTAGTGTTTGAAATAGAGGCAGCCTTACTCGTCTTACTTACTGCATTAACTCTCACAATCTCTTCGCTGTAACAATGAAAGTGTTAAAAAGCCAACATTAAAATTTTCTTGCAAACTGTGTGAAAAGTATATGTACTAAGAAATTCAACAGAAGACGTTGAAATACTTAATGATTTCATCGTTAATATTAAACGACTTAAGAAATTTGTAATGTAGAAATTACTTATCCGAACAAGTGAATTATTGGAAGCCTTGAACTAAAAAGTCAACACTTTCAACCACTATGGCATAAATTTCACAAAATATCGTGACAAAATGTCGTAAAATCTGATACTATAATGCAAGAAAAATGCCGTATTTCACTAACAAACCTCTCATCTTTTCATCGGTTTCCTCCCAACTTTCAGATTCACTGACACCAGAAACGATTTTGCACGAAAGTTCGTCAGTTGCATGTCCAGCCGTATCCTTACCAAGCTCTCTGAAACAATTTAATATTCATAATTTTAAAAAGCTATCACTGTATATGTAAAAGAAATGTATTATATAACATGTATGCAGTTTGTGATATCCGGTTATTTTATGGTTCACGCAGGGAATGAGCAATTTAGCTACCTTTCATCGACTTCCATAATTTCTATCCGTTCTCCCATTCCGTCGCCACCACACTTTTGTTGCACTTGGCTTGTACTGAAAATACAATTAACATAGAAAACATACACAATGTAAGTGCAGTTCTCAATTTGGGAATTGGGAACTTGATTTTCATTACCTAGCCGATTTAAGCATTTTGTACGCCTGTAGCGCAGATTTAGCAAGAGGGAATCTTCTCTAATAGCGTCATTTGCTAAGGTCTTTTCGCCCTTGTCGCTGTGAGTTTTAAATGGTTTGCTAGAGAGGACTTGTTCCCTCTAGCAAGCCAAAATTACGTTTGCCTAAAACAAAGTAAGCAAAAGCCCATTGGGGTTTTCTCGTGTCCACTCTTTGCTCGCTTTGCTTCTGGTCCTGTTTTCTGCTGCTTGCTATGTCTTTTAAACATGTTGGCAAACTGAAACTCTATAACACACAATTTTATGGTTACAAATGTGTCGATAGCCAATCTTGGTTGTTTACTATTGTTTTTATAAAACCCACTGACAATGTCATGCCACTTTTCTTTGTGACGCAAACACGATCACTCTTACACACGACTAACATTCTAACACTAGATAATTGTTCTGTTACCTTCCTTAGACAGTGTTTGCTGCTTATTTTAGCCACTGCTGCTGTCTCAGTTTTGCACAGCCACTACACAAGACCTGGGCACCAAAACCTTCATCATCACCTGCTGATGTTGAGCAAGGCGGAATTGCGTGGCACGTTTTTTTGCAAACTTTGCAAAAATGGCTTCCACATTCCTTCTTGCATGAAACGCAAACTAGTAATTAGGCAACAACAATGAAAACATAAGTTAAGATAATGTAATGAACGTTTTTGGTATCAAAGGCAAGCAGCACTAGTTTTAGCAACACACAAATGTTGGTTTGGTACTCTTAGTGAGAAGTGAATATTGTCGAGGAATCACCGAATCAGCTCCTGCAATCAACCAATGGCTGATATATATTGTGTATATTGTTGTTAGGAAAATTTTCGGCTATTGTAACGCGTGAATTTACCTGATTTAACTGCTTGAATCTCAGCCATCTAGTAAAAATAAATAAACAATTAGATAAAAATGTTTGTCAAAAAATCTCGCTTTATCACCAAACAATAGCGAGCTAAGCCCTGTTAGTTCGTTAGCAAACCGGTTTTAATTATAAATTGCTTCATTTATCAATATGTTTTATGTAAGGATTGTGAATTTTATTTGCCTTAAATGTATTAAAACATGCTTTGTAGTTTGTAATACAAGAAATCCTTTCGTACCACTACTTTTAGGTTACACAAAAAACATAACTGTTAAATAATAACTTGTTTCCCGGGCGTTTAGTGTTAGAAGCGTTAATGCTTTCAGAATTTTTATCATTTGTAATTTTGTATCAGTACTTTTGATTTTACTAAACCATTACGTGTACTCACCTTACAAATTTGAACACCCCAAGTTGGTTTAATTAAATATCACGTATCACCGTAGAATACACCGAAGAATCGATATGGTTTGCCTTGAAGTCACTTAAAAAGAGAAAGCTCGAAAAACGAAAGCAAAGAATGTGTAGTTAATCTGCTCAGATATCATATTTCTAGTCATCAAACGCTTATTGGCTTACCAACCAATTAACGGAACTTGCCTGTCAAAACAGCTTGTAAGATTGACATTCAACAGGCAACAATTTTTTTCAACGGAAACGCAAAGTCGCAAACGCAAAGTCGGAAACGCAAACGCAAACGCAAAGTCGGAAACGCAAAGTCGGTGAACGCAAAGTCGGTCATCCAATTGAGGACTAGGAAAAACAAATGCTACATAACGTTAGAGAAAAAAATATTTCATAACATTAATTTCATTTTAAGCTATCATTTATAGATAAATGTCCACACATTGAGGAGGAGATTGAAGACAGACGTCGATATATTGGGGAGCTGATTGTGGATAAATGTCCATGTAATCAAAAGAAATGTGCTTGCCACTTAAAAAACACGGTACGTAAAGGTATGGAAAAGTATGTCAATTAATGAATAATTCACCTTTTCTGCTCTAAACATTCCCGTCCACTTACAACCCAAACTTTTGTTGCGGCAATAACAATGTTGGTCCAAAATTTCACGGTTACAAAATCTATCTGGGAATATATCTTCGAGAGTAAGTACAGTGCCGTCTTCTGGACACTTTTGGTCCCCGCTATATTAAGTGAGAAGAATGCGTCAACAAAAATTGTATAAGTAGTAAAAGGGGTTTCCCCTTCAGCCCTTCCCAGCGTTACAGTTGTTCAAAAAGAAGAAGTTTAATGGATAGACGGACTAATATCGTAACAATTCATCCATGGATCTATCTAATTTTGAACTTTATTATTAAAACCCTGAAATGTTTAAAATTAAAGAAGTGCCGAGTTTCATACATCCCCTAGTAAAATAAGGCTCATACGTATGTTTTCATCAAGAAATGTCTAGCAAGGTTCATTTTAAACTTATGTTTCACGAAGAATTGTTGTACATGAATATCGCGAAAGCTGCGATGAAACTGTCAAAATTGTCATCATTTCTGTTATTGAAAATTTCTGAAAATGTATGAGATTCCAGCGCCTACATGCAATGTCATGAGAGTGATCGTTGCCGTATTGATCATTTTCCTATCACGAATTGCTAAACGTTTTTAATATTACTACACGATACAGAAGTAAATCATTTTAGCATGAGCATTTTCGGAAAATTTTTCTTTATTACGATACTGTATGAATTTAAAATTAATTCAAACTTACAGCTTGACTGTTAAATTGAAAAGCGGAAGTGTAATAATTTCGATTTAATATTCCAACTGACAATTTACCAAAGCACAGCATCAAATTTTCTCTTATACGAAATTGCTCTTATAATTCATCACAAAATTTTTAACGCCTAAGCGAATTGTTGAAACTTAGTTACTAAAAAACTGGGGAAAATACAGGGATGTGTGGTTTATCGCAAGGGCAAAATAATCATACTTCTCAATAACATTTTTAATGCAACTCTCGCAAAAACGATGACCACAAGAAGTTTGGTGCGGATTCCTCAAAGGGAGTTTACAAATTGAACATTTCAGTCGAGTATCGAGGTCTTGTAAATTAAAATTAAAAGAAAATGGATCCGTGCCTCAACAGAAGACATTTATAAAGACTGGCAAAAGGCTGAATATGAATTACAGTTCGTCCATGTACCTGCAAAACAGTGTCCTGCGAAGCAGGTGTACGTGGTGTCCTTAGTTGATTGAGGTTGCCAGGGGTAACAGAGTACTCTGATAGTAAAGCGTCGGATGCGGTGCTTTCGTCTTCGACGCTTGCACGTGCGCTCTCGCTGGCAAAACCCATCTTGAGGGCTTATAAGAAGTCACATGAACAAGTCACATGAACAATATATTGTAAAAAAAGGTAGTTGCAATAAAACACAATGAATCGTCGTTAATTAAATCCTAAATCAGGATTAAGGATTTAAGAGTAAATTAGGATTTATATTATGTATAATCTCTGATGATGGCTTTGGAATAACGTCGTGAATTACGTGTCCATTTACCTCTTCGAGTTTGGCATCCGAAACCTGCGGTTTTGGAATAACAAGTTTACTGCGCTTTTTGATATGGTCAGGATTATTTAACCTGGAGTAAAACAAAAACAGATGAAATAAAGAAAGACGTTCATGCCGTTCGTAAATTTACATAAAAGTTGCCGCACATTAAATGTTAGGAATTTTCCCGGCTTATGCAAACCTCGGAGAGTGTCGGAGACGGTTGTAAGAACTCTCGACCTTCGGTCCTGTCGTAGTTTCTTGAATTCAAGTTGGATGGGCGTCACGTTCTCATCGGAGGTATCGTAAAATCCTATAGGGAAAACACTGAACTGAATAAAAATCGCACGCCAACATGTAATGTTCGCACAACAACTGCGAGAGAGGAAGAGAACAAGAAAAAAAGAGAACGCCAAGAGGCTACGTACAGCTAAATTGCAAACTAGCTGTGTTAGAGCGAGGTTTGTATGATAAATTATAGAAACCAAGCGCGTAATTACCCGAGCGATAACAGCTTTAGGAAAAAACTTCGACTACGACTAAGATAAGGGTCGTAGCTAGAGCATTAATTAGGGATCGGGATCGGGGAAGGGTTAGGGATGGTGGTGGGGAGGAGCGTTAGCATCTATACATTCAGTTGCACCCAAACGATTTCTTTTGAAAGCCAAATCACTTTCAAAACAACTCAGTCATGCACAACTCAAAGAACATACACCCCCTCCTCTCAATTAGTGTTCTCGCTAGGGCAGTACGGGGCCCTAGTTAAGAGTCAGAAGTACGTCCATTTGGTGCAAAAGTACAGTTATGACTGCATCAAAAAGTAAAGTATTCTACACAAAACCATTGTTCGCTCGCACTTTTTTCCAGCAACACAGTACATTCAAATTTTGCACTTGTAGACAAACTCGCTAAAGAAGTGAATATGGTACCATCTTGATTTGACGTTCTACTGATTAAGTAAGCAATTACGTTCTCTACATCCCCGGTCGGCAAATGAAATTACACCTCTCGCCGAAACAAATTCCAGCTACGCATACCATAGCTTACGGTCTTACGATGCCGAGAAGAGCTAAGATCGATTACTTACTGAAATTAGAGGCATTAAAATTACACAGGTTTGGTGGGAAAATATAAGTGAAAAAGAGAAAATGCTCAACATACAGATGTAATTGAAATTTTTCAAACAACAGTTCTACGTGTTAAAGTGAATGGTTTGAGCCCGGGAGTACCGTTACATGTTTGTAGATGTAGATCGTTTTCCAGGTTAGTACAGTCCTGCAGCATCAACAAACTTCTAATGAATACTCGATGACAAACCACCCTCCCTGGAGAACTTCACTTTTTTATACATACCGGGAGCTGGTTTTTCTCTCAAATGGTATTTCGGCATTGTAGTCAACACCACGCCTTCTCTTTTTGTGTTTCCTTATCTTTGATACAATTGAAAACAAATAATCATCGCGCCTCGTTATCGTACAAACCACGGACGGATTTTCTTATTTTTTACAGGAGTGATGTAAAATATTTTAGAGGGGACGACGCAAGACATGGTAAGGGTGTGGATTTTAGGGGCAGTCGAATCGTGTAGCCAACAAAGGTGGAATAAAAGTTAAAATATTGAGCAGAAAATCTCATTTCATCAGTACCGTACAGCTGATTTCTTTCGCTAAAATTTATAGGGCGGTTAAAATGTTTCATAGAAGGGCGAAATCTGATATAAGTGGAGAACATACCCCCAAACAAGAAAATCCGTCCAAGGTACAAACAAGAAAAACTGTTTAACTCAATTGAACTCATAGTAAATTGGTCGTACATTAGTAATACTTGTATGTATAGGAAATTACTTGTTCATGAAAGCATGATGATTTGGAATGGAAAATAAATGGTCAACTAATGATCATTGCAATCATTACTAACATTTTTTTGTTTGTCATTTTACCAGCAGACAAAGGACGCGTGACTGTGGTCATGGACAGGAATGATTACTTTAACAAAATGGACACCCTTGTTAACGACAGACAAACGTACGAACAACTCAAACGAGACCCAACACCATCACTAGTACGCAAACTTAACAGCAAGATCTTCTCTATGAGAAAATCTAACATTATATATGAACGTATTTACTATCGACTCAGATGTTCAGTACCACGACCACCCAGACTATACGGACTACCAAAACTTCACAAACCACAAATACCCATGCGACCAATTGTATCATTCTGTGGTTCGCCTACTTACGAACTTTCAAAGTACTTGACTAACATACTGCAACCACTTACAAACAAATCAAAACATAAGCTACAATCCACTGAAACTTTCATTAAAAAATTGAGCACTATACAAATACCGGACAACTATATACTAGTGTCTTTTCATGTGAAATCACTGTTCACCAGTATTCTAGTTAATCTGGCACTTACTTGTACAAAAACCCTCATTACAAACACCACGGACGTACTGCCATTACCGACAGAAGACATTATGGAGTTACTGGAGCTCTGCCTCACCTCGACTTACTTCCAATACAAAGGAACACACTACAAACAATTACATGGGACGGCAATGGGCTCGCCCGTTTCTGTTGTAGTTGCTGAAATTGTAATGCAATCTGTAGAGGAACGGGCGCTCACGACTTACAAACATGCACTACCTTTTTGGTTTCGCTACGTAGATGACACAATCACAGCACTACATGCAGGCGACATTAATGGCTTTCATACTCACATCAACAAACAGAACAGCCACATACAATTTACCAAAGATGTCGAAGAAAACGGAACTCTTTCTTTTCTCGACTGTTTGGCAAAACATGACAATCAAAAACTGCGAACAACAGTTTATCGCAAGCCAACACATACTGACCGACTACTAGACCAATCATCTTACAACCCTACATCACACAAAGCCACCACAATCAGAACATTAACAAGACGTGCACAAATCATATGTGATTCACCGGACGCTCTACAAAATGAAAACAACTATCTGAAACGTGTTTTTGACAAAAACAACTATAACTCTGACTTTATCAAACTTAACACTTACAAACCTAACGAACCCAACGAAACGAACAACTCAGTGACAAGTACGAAAAAGCAAAAGATTTTTATGAACGAGCGATAGAAATTCAACCAAAACAAT